AATAACAGAAGCTTACGCTATTAAACTAGTTAGCTGACTCGCGCAGAGGGAGAAATAAACGAATAGTTGAAATAAAGTCGTTATTTTTGTTGTTTTTTTGCGCACAAAAGTGTTCTCGTCGTTTGATAAACTTAAGATTGAGCCCCTGTAGTCACTTGGACTATTTTAACGATGTCTTCAATTACTTTTCGAGGACAGCAAGAGCCAGTCCCTCAAGAAGCCTATGGACTGTATGCAGGAGCGATTTTAATATCTTAAATATCTTAATTCGTTTTCCGAAGATGAACGAAGGTCTTACGGGGTTGGAACAACATGAGGGTGAGTAAATACTGACAGAATTTTCATTTTTGGGTGAACTAACCCTTTAAGGTGCTGAAGGAGAAAATTAAGTAATGTCATGTTGTTCATTTAGCACGTTTTGAGTTGTATGTGTCTCCTGAGACATTGCCTGTTTAGGGTATAAAACATGGATAAAACTAGATCTATTTAAATGCCTTATTCAAACTTAAATGATTGCAATTCCAGAATGCTTTGGAATATAGACCTAATTTTGCCTTTGTTTAAAAGAAAAGAAGTTTAAAACTTACATTAAATCAACATACTATACTTAATATTTATTATTTTTTATAAAATATGTATTTTACAAAATATATTTTACTATAAAATCAAAGCCATATATATCTTACCAAGTTGTGTTCCAAATTTGAAGTTGATATCACAAAATTTGAGGTTGCCATGAGATTTTGTTCAGGTGTAATACCAAAAAATATCCACCAGGTGACTTACATTCCATTGAATTTAATTGTATGCATTCTGCCATAACAAATTAATAAACTTCTGTCCAAATATCACTTCTGTCACATATGGAACCTTGAGACTCAGAGATTTCTGACAATATGCGTTTTGTCAAAATTAAAAAGGTTTTGATCATAAATTATGAAACATGACGATGCCCAAAAGGGGAGGAGCACATTAAAAGAATTTAGAGCACCGTTTCTATGGTAGCATAAGTTCGTCCAATTTCTTAACGGGCTTAAGAGTTCATATGATTTCGATTGATATACAATTTGTCAACATTAGATCAGGTGAAGAATGGGATATAATTGTTTTAAACATACAGTGGAAGTAACAATTAATAGATTAATGACACGGTTCTTTTTTATACCCTAATCAGGCAACCTATCTCATGAGACACAATTCATAAAATCCAAAATATATCAATTTTTTTAATATTTTGGATATGTTTTAAGTCCAGATCATATAAAAAATTAAATTACATTATTTTTTTGCTTAGCATTTTCCACTCTTGCCTGTTTAAGGGTTAAGAGGAGTAGTATTTAGCAAAAACATGCTAAAATGGCATCAACAGGCAACAAAATACATAAGTGTTTCACAAAATATATGGCTCAATCTTGTTCAATGACACAGCATTATTACCAAAACTACGTTATATTATAAAATACAAACATTTTCTTGATGTGTTTATGACGGTGTGTTGCTTGCAAGTATGCTAGTATTTTTACTTGAATTTGTTGCCTATGTGTAGGCTATGGTAACTGACGATGCTAGTCAAACAAATATGATAACTTCTGCCATTCAATCACATTGAAACTTAAAACAAATGATATAAACATTAAGAGCAAACATACCTTTAAAGAAGAGTAGTCCAAGACAAAATGAGCAAAAACAAAACGAAGTCCGCCTACTCTCTCACTCCTGCATGGACAAACACACGTGAATGAACTGAAGCGATAGACCGATCACGATTAAAAGCGCCAGTTTCAAAAGTTCGCGAATTACACGGAGACACGTCATGAAGTATTTATCAACACAGTTTTAACACGATGTTCTCTGATAAACAGACCGTAAATACGACATATGTACGAGTAGAGAGTGATACTGACTGAGCCTCTAGTTTCTCAGTGAGTCTACGCGCGAATGAAAGAGGGGAGAGAAAGCAGTAGCACTTCCTAATGGGCGTGTCACACCGCAAGCGTGAGCTCCGCGTCATCCTCGTCACAGGGAGCCAGTCTTTACAACTATACAATATTTTTTTTAGGTATTATTATTTTAATTTATGTTGTATTTTTTCATTTACTGTAATGTATAATTATTTCAATAAAAAAAAAAATACAATATTTTTTTGAAGTTTTATAAAAAATATTTTATAAAAAACATTTATAAACTTGATAGCCCTAGTGAAAAAGTATACTTTATTGTATTTTAAATAGACTCTCTTTTTCAATAATGGGATAGTAGCCTAAATACTAACAGCATGCTTTTACTTTCATAATAAAACTTTTAACACACTTTAAAATAATTTTACTTTAGTATATTTTCTAAACAAATATATATTTTCGAAAACTATAAGCTACTTGAAGTGAGAATTCAATTTATTTTTTAAAAGTGTATTCATTTGCACTTGTAAGGGTGGATTTTCTGCAGGGATTCAGGCTGCAAGACTGTCGAATGACTAAAGAAATGTTAGCGAGATGGTAGAAAACTGTACATTTCTTGTCTATTCCACCCACTGCCACTTATCCACCTTATTCTGCTCTAATAAGGTGCCAACTTCCAGTTCGAATCTGATCTATGCGTTTTTGCTATGTGTTTCATATTGTGTCATCCCCACATCGCTAAACTACATAAAACAACAACAACAAACAAACAAATGTGATCTGATCAAGTTATTTTTTATTATATCACATTCAAACAAAATAAACTTTTTTCTTTTCTTCATAACTTCCAAATGATAGCTTATGCATGACTGCACGATCTCCTAATACAGCAATACAATAGGTGCCTCTGCTGCACCATAGGTTCTTAGCCCGTAACTATAAATTGTGTTCTATAAGCAATGTGTAATGCGCAAATTGAAAATACAAACAGGATCATTGCATATCTTCAGTCAGGGCTAACTGTCCAGCTAGTAATTTATCTAGCTGTGTTTAAAGATTTGTATTCTTTGACATTTGTGCCTCTGCATTTTTAGATTGCACTTTTACCATTTAGCATCTAAACTTGAAGATAGACACGTTGTTAACTCACATAGCCGTGTACAACTTATGAAGTTTAAAGGAGCTGTATGCAAGAAATTTATTTCAATTATCATAAAATTTCCCTGACATATCACTAGACAATAAGAAATCATGTTCATTTCAAATACTGACAACAGTAGTCCGGCCAGGATATTGTCATTTAAAAAGTGAAGTCGCAGCCGTTGACTGATGTTGATGTTGTCAAGTTGTGTTTTGTTCTGATGCGATCTACCAATCACGGACTTAGCATTCGGGTTGCCAGCTCTTCTCTAGTTACAGCTCTTCACTTCTCACAGCTGCAGATACAAACGTGTCGGAATCGGATAAAAAAATTATAACGTTGCGAAACCCCAAAAAACTTGATATGAATCCGAAATGCTCCAAAAAATCCAAAATTAATAATTAACAGAAAAAACTCACTAGGACTCGTCACTTGCCAATGGAAGCTTCTTGTAGAAGCCTACATTCCTGCTGGATCATGCAGCATATCTGGCAACCTCGAGTCAACGGAGAAGGGGGAGAAACACCCTAATTTGAAAGTGATTGCAGTACCCGTTTTGGCCACAATCTTGCATAGATTGAACTCGTCTCGATCGTGGAGGTGGAAAAATAAGTTATTTGTGACATGCAAGATCTATTGTTTTAAAATTAAAATGCAAAAGAAAAGGCAAGTCGGCTGCTTTTGTCAATTTCAAGTTTTAATTTAAATTATTTGCGATTTTAATATAGTAAATATTTGACCACTTGCTTGAGCAACTTTTAAATCATGAGTAATAGCCCTAACTTACATTGTTTAAATTGTGTTTAAACGTGCATACAAAGAATCGCAATGCTGACACAACTTTTTGTTTTTAAAAATAAGTTGCAGCATAACTTCTGGACTTTAAATAAACATATTAAGTATGTGTTTGTTGTACAGCCGCGGATCAGTTATTCACTGTGCAAACGCATCATAATATGTGAACGCACTAACAGCACACTCCTGCACCGCAACAGACACTGCAAACGGGTGTGAAACGGACGTTAGATCCACCTACAGTTGTTAGAAACTTAGATGTGTTTAAGAACTCTTTTTTTGCGTACAACAGCAGCACTCATCTTGTTTGTTTATTAGTGGATGCGGATGACCAGTCGTAGACCGGAAACTGACATGCCGACTTCTGACAAAAGCGGAAGTTCGAAATACGCTTGTGCACATAGCCTATGATTGGGTGTCACCAGTTATGACGTGTCCTTCCCTGATTCATCAGCCACCCATCACATGACCCGTTTCCTGTTGACACCGGCACGCACATGCCCAGTGTTGGTGAATGGTCACGTGATCTGTGTTTTCAGTCGTTTTAATGTGGACGGAGATCAATAATAAATACACAGATAAAACGCTGCTGTGGATGGAGATCATATTTGTTTTAGTTCTCCGTTTTTAAACGAAAACACAGTACTGTGAACGGGGCCTAAAACCCAAATTTGAGACATTCAAACTGACCAATCAGATAATTACACTTCCCCCATTGTTCTAAAGGTGTGAAAATTCATTGACCCCAATTGGCACAATAAAAAACGATGAAATAATTGAGGCTTTAAACTTCATAAGTTGTACACGGCTACGTGAGATAACAACGTGCCTTTCTTCAAGTATAGATGTGACTGACTTGACTTGATTATTAAATTATCTTCATACAAACTATTCCATAATCATCGATAAGTCAAACAAACTCAAGAGTCTGTATGAAGTTGTACAGTGATGTTTTGAGGTTTGGAAACATGTTACTCAGACCATATTTGTAGCATACGTCTCAGGAAAGGTGACATAATAAACCCAATTGCAGAGGGTTAGATGACAATTTCTTCAGGGTGGTCAGAGTTTTCTCTTTTTTTCTGAGAATAAAAAATAAAACATTGAACAATTCTCTGTAAGTTTTTGCTATTTTAAACATTGGTGCAGATTTGCTCAAAACTTACCAGTATTTCAATGTAATATGTTATTGTAATATTGTGGGCATCTCTATTTCCTCTGGGTTCTGCAAGTTCTTCCTCCCTGCAAAATAAAAGCATTGACTGTCCTGTCATATAATTCAAAATAAAATTATTGCCTGTCCTCTCATATAATTCTTGTTGCGATAAAGGGGTAGGGTGAAGGGGTAGGTTGTCCCGATTCTTGTTGAGATAGAGGGGGAGGGTGTCCCGATTTTTGTTGAGATACAGGGGTAGGGTGAAGGGGTAGGTTGTCCTGATTCTTGTTGAGATAGAGGGGTTGAGATAGAGGGGTAGGGTGAAGGGGTAGGTTGTCCTGATTCTTGTTGAGATAGAGGGGTAGGGAAAAGGGGTAGGTTGTCCTGATTCTTGTTGAGAGGGGTAGGGTGAAGGGGTAGGTTGTCCCGATTCTTGTTGAGATAGAGAGGTAGGGTGAAGGTTTAGAGTGTAGGGATTCTTGTTGAGATAGAGGGATAGGGTGAAGGGGTAGGGTGTCCCGATTCTTGTTGAGATAGAGGGGTAGGGTGTCCCGATAAAGAGATAGAGGGATAGGGTGAAGGGGTAGGGTGTCCCAATTCTTGTTGAGATAGAGGGATAGGGTGAAGGGGTAGGGTGTCCCGATTCTTGTTGAGATAGAGAGGTAGGGTGAAGGTTTAGAGTGTAGGGATTCTTGTTGAGATAGAGGGATAGGGTGAAGGGGTAGGGTGTCCCGATTCTTGTTGAGATAGAGGGGTAGGGTGTCCCGATAAAGAGATAGAGGGATAGGGTGAAGGGGTAGGGTGTCCCAATTCTTGTTGAGATAGAGGGATAGGGTGAAGGGGTAGGGTGTCCCGATTCTTGTTGAGATAGAGGGGTAGGGTGTCCCGATTCTTGTTGCGATAAAGGGGTAGGGTGAAGGGGCAGGTTGTCCTGATTCTTGTTGTGATAAAGGGGTAGGGTGAAGGGGCAGGTTGTCCTGATTCTTGTTGCGATAAAGGGGTAGGGTGAAGGGGCAGGTTGTCCTGATTCTTGTTGCGATAAAGGGGTAGGGCGAAGGGGTAGGTTGTCCCGATTCTTGTTGAGATAGAGGGGTAGGGTGAAGGGGTAGGTTGTCCCGATTCTTGTTGAGATAGAGAGGTAGGGTGAAGGTTTAGGGTGTAGGGATTCTTGTTGAGATAGAGGGATAGGGTGAAGGGGTAGGGTGTCCCAATTCTTGTTGAGATAGAGGGGTAGGGTGAAGGGGCAGGTTGTCCTGATTCTTGTTGCGATAAAGGGGTAGGGTGAAGGGGCAGGTTGTCCTGATTCTTGTTGAGATAGAGGGATAGGGAGAAGGGGTAGGTTGTCCTGATTCTTGTTGCGATAAAGGGGTAGGGCGAAGGGGTAGGTTGCCCCAATTCTTGTTGAGATAGAGGGGTAGGGTGTCCCGATTCTTGTTGCGATAAAGGGGTAGGGTAAAGGGGCAGGTTGTCCTGATTCTTGTTGCGATAAAGGGGTAGGGTGAAGGGGCAGGTTGTCCTGATTCTTGTTGAGATAGAGGGATAGGGTGAAGGGGCAGGTTGTCCTGATTCTTGTTGAGATAGAGGGATAGGGTGAAGGGGCAGGTTGTCCTGATTCTTGTTGAGATAGAGGGGTAGGGTGAAGGGGTAGGGTGTCCCGATTCTTGTTGAGATAGAGGGGTAGGGTGTCCCGATTCTTGTTGAGATAGAGGGGTAGGGTGTCCCGATTCTTGTTGCGATAAAGGGATAGGGTGAAGGGGTAGGGTGTCCTGATTCTTGTTGAGATAGAGGGGTAGGGTGTCCCGATTCTTGTTGCGATAGAGGGGTAGGGTGTCCCGATTCTTGTTGAGATAGAGGGGTAGGGTGTCCTGATTCTTGTTGAGATAGAGGGGTAGGGTAAAGGTGTAGGACTACATAGCCCTCGAAACAGAGATTTTTCAGAGGCACACTCCAAACGCAGCGCAATGAGAAAGATCGCAGAATGCATCGTGAATCACCGGCGAGATGGCTTCGCAAAACAGTTAAACATTAAAATTTAGCCCCAGATAACACCACCATGCACTTTATTTACTCTTATAATAATAATAATATACTCTTTTTAATCAAGAAATTGTATAATAAATTACCTATCTGAAACAGAAAACATACATTTCGAGAAAGGAATGTTATAATCATCATGTTTCCTCAAAGTTAAGAGCAGCTCAATGTCAGTCATTGTCATGGAAAAATCTTGTAAAAACTTGTCGCTTCCGTAACGTCAGAGCCATCGTCGACGACTGATGACGTATCGTGTTCATGAAGGGTTGTTACATTTCGTAGGGGAATATTTCAACCCCTTGGCCCTTGTAACTCTGTTTTAAATAGACTTGAAAACAAGGGCTGAATTGGGATTGAGCCTTAGTGTCAGTACATTATTATTATGCACTATTGATCATTATCATTGTATCATATGTTCATTATCGATTAATGTTATTATGCACTGAGGTTGATCTCAATTGTGCCCCTCTGGAAAAATGTAGGGCCGTCTGTGAAGTTGTGTCTGGCGTCCGGTCAATGTGTGTTTATCATGATTGCAGATGTTCAGATCAGACGAGTGTGAATCTTCAGAGTGTGTGCGGCTCAAACTCACCAGCTCTTCTTGCACAGATGATCTGAAGAAGAATCACAGTAGGAGCAGCAAACACTGCCATCTCAACAATACTCACAATCACTGCAGGAAACATGAGAGGAAGAAGAGAAACTGGACATGACTGAAGTCAAGGGTCTTCATCTATCAGCAGTTATTGATGAAGCATTTACAGACTGACTGATAGTGTAATGTTAGAAAGCTGTCCGTCTAAATCAACGTGTCGTACCTCTGTATAATAATCCAGCACTCACACACACTACAGTTTCTGATGCTGTGTCGTCTGGACCTGTGGATTACGAGTTCAGGTCAACACATAATACATCATATACACAACGTCATCAACACACAATACTTGAGCTTCACATCACAGAAATTATGAATATGATCAATACAGAGGGATTGTTATACATTTATGTAATTTAATGGTTTGTGTTCATTCAGCATTATAACAGGTTTGAAAACATTTGTAAACATGTAAACACATGAAACCATTTCTACTTTGAGTTCAGCGAATCACAGTGAAGTGTGAAAATCTTATTACTTTGCACACAGTTCCTGATCCCCTGTTCTCTGTCTCTTAATGTCTTAACAGAGGAATCAGGTATATATCTAGGGACTGATTTCAGAAGAAAAGTGCATCTGAGAGACACTGCACAGCGCTGATGTGAGAAAGACAGCGATGAAGTACCTTTAGATACGTGTGTGTTTGTTGTTGAGGGAGATTGAGAGTGTGTGATGTGGACTGGATTCACTGCTGTCGTTGAATCAGCTTGAGCTGTAAAAGAGGAATGCTAGTTCAGATGATTCATACCTGTAGATTTGACTTAACACAAGATAACTCTAGCATTATCTATAGTTATAGCATTCTCTATCATTATTTATAAAACGGTTAGTTCCAATCCTTGATTCTGATTGGTCAAGAGCTGTGCTTTATTCACGATAAAATAGGGCTATGACCGCTTCACCCAACGGTTCTATTTATCACTGCGCCCTTAGCAACATCCTTAGCAACCACACATATCAACATAGGCTTAACACTGAAAACAACTTAAGAATTAAAAAGGCTAAAATGTTTTAAGTAAATTTCTATTTACTAGGTGGCATGACGATGGATAAGTGGTTTGAGGAACAATTTGGAGAGAAATACGAAACGTCATGTTGAAGTGCTGAAATGTAACATTGACACATTCGAGAAGACTCGTAATGAAAAAAATACCGTGCAGCAAACCCAATGGGCAGTGAAATGCTTCAGTGACTGGTGTAGAGAAAAGGGTTGCAGCATAGATTTTAAACAAATCACCAAGACGGAACTCAACGCACTTTAATATCCATGACTTCTACAGAACTCCACAGGAGAAAAATATGGGATCAGTAGCTATGTAGCGTTACGTCTGAACAGATTCCTGAATGATCCACCTTTGAGTTTGTCCTGGTGTCTGATGAGAGACAGCGAATTCACCTCATCCAATAATGTTTTTGTTGGAGTTGTAAAGACAATGAGAAGAGAGGGTCGTGATAAAACAGAGCATCACACACCGATTTCTACTAAAGATTTCAGCACCATAAAACTGTCCGATGCGCTTAATCCCAACACACCTGTCACTACACCAGTCACCGAAGCATTTCACTGCCCATTGGGTTTGCTGCACGGTATTTTTTTTTCATTACGAGTCTTCTCGCTTGTACATTTCAGCACTTCAGCATGACGGTTCGTATTTGTAGAAGTCTCTCCAAATTGTTCCTCAAACCACTTATCCATCGTCATGCCACCTAAATTGAAATTTACTTTAAACATTTTAGCCTTTTTAAATTATGTCTGTGAGTGGACATACGTGTAAAAGTAAAGAGCTACTGGAGGCCAAACTTAAAACAAAGAAAGCACTAGAGTGACATTCTTGCTGCAACAGAAAACACCGCTGACAGCGCTGAGCCCCAACTAAAATATCACCACAGTGGAGCCGATTGAAATGAGTCAAAAATTTAATGCGTGCACAATAAACGGAGATGTTCAAATAAATTTAAATAAACAACAATAAATAAAGTATCTCTTGTTAGGCAGCATTTTAGCAACTAAATTAATAACTAGATTAAAGACATATACACTAGACCTCACCTGGGGGTTCTAAGCATGCGTCAAAACCGCCGCCATCTTGGAACAGGGGTCTTGTCATAGGAAGTAGCTAGGTAACGCTGCTATCTCTGCCTTTACTTCGAATTCATTGATGGTGGCGGACTTTTGTGCAGCATATGATGTTCACGGATGAAATCTGAACTAGGAAGAATGTTTAAAAAATAAAAAATAAATTCTTTCTGGAATCAATGATAAATACATGTCTGACCGTTGGAACAAACAAAAACAAAAAAACAAGAAAAATCGCATTCATGATGATTCATGGTGATTTTATTTGCGTTAGACCTGTCTACTACATTGACGCTGATGCATTATAGTGGAGGGGCTCCCCTGTTTCAAGATGGCGGCTCTATTGACGCATTCGTTCCAATGAACTGCCGTATCCAAGGTGAGGTCTAGTGTATATGTCTATGACTGTTATCTATCAAAATATGTGCCCATGTTTTTTTTTTATTTTATTTGTTAGTTTGCTGAGAGATAAGCTATGCCTATTTGTGTGAGGAAATTTCACAAATTTTGTGTTGTAAAAAATTAAAAAGAATGAGACAAAGTTTGAGAATGATGGTTTGTTGTTTTTATTTGAGCTTTCCTGCATGTTACACATTGGAACGTTGTTGTTCACAGTCAGGGACTATATTTTTCTAGCGGAAGGAATGTTTTTATTGATTAAACTGCATGAAAGTTGCACCAATGCATTGTTTTTTATTTTAATATTGTGTGGCAACCGTTTTATAAAAGCAATAAGGTACTCGAGGCAAGTGCTGTATTGTGAATAAGTAACGGCTGAAGGCACTCCGCTTCGCGTCGATTCACGATACAGCACAGCCTCTCGTACCTTATTGCTTACATATAGCAACAATCTAACAGAAAGTCTGATTAATGAGACTGTTTTCTCACCTGAATACTTGACAGTGTATGTGACTGAAGTCTGGAGTTGATTTCTGAGAGTAAGCCGACATCTCCACTCTCTGTTGTTATCTTCATTCAGGAGTGTTGTAGTCAGAGTGATGTTACAGGGATCTGATGATGATGATGATGATGATATCTGATATCTGGAGTCTGTCTTCAGATCAACACCAGCCTGATTCACCCACAACAGCTCAAATCCCCCATAATGAACCCAATAATCACAGGAGTATCTAATATATGTATACAACTGACAGAAGAGAGTCACAGAGCGGCCTGGACTGATCTCAGTCTGTGAGGATGAAGATGATGATGATGGAGACACTGAAACTGAACACAAGACACAAATCACAGACTCTTCAATCATCATCTGAGTTTAATAAAGAATCTGCCCTTTTTAAATTGACCAAATAATCATAAACTTACCATGAAGAACATGCAGAAGAACACGTGCATCAGTTCCTTGTTGTGTGCCGTTCACAAATTGTCTGCAGGTGTAATCTCCATAATCTTCTTCTGTGACGTTCTTGATGTTCAGAGAGCAGTCAGACTCCAGACTCAGTCTCTCATGTCTCTCTGTTTCTTCATTCTTTATCCCTAATTTAATCAGTTCAACTGTTGCTGAATGTCTGAATCTGTTATAGTTCCATGTAGTTGATTTGCAGTCAGAAAGAGTTTTATTACAGGACAGACGGACATTTACACCAGAACTGATGAACACATGATCATCATCCACTCCACTGGTGCCTGAAACACAAGTACATTTCAGTGACCATTTAATATCAATAAAGTAAACCCGTGACAGCAGGACATTCTCAGTGTCAGATGTTAGTTATTCGGGAATAAAACTGTATTTGCAAAGGCAACATTGACTGTGAGATCAGAACATGTAGAGGACGAATAAAACATGTTCAAACGAACTCATCATAGACTTCATGCCAGACCAGCTCAATTAAAAATGTCTTATGTGTAAATTGATATTTAACCCTTTCCCGTGAGTTTAAAGAGCATGTAGAAATGTATTTACCTGCGAGAAGTGAAGAGAGAATGATCAGTCCCAGCAGACACAGATCAGACATCTTCTGTTTCTGACTGTCTTGCCTTCTGTTGAACATCATCAGTAAAAATGGAAATACCTTGACTTTATGTTTGGAGACTCAGATCCTCACCAGCTTTTACAACTAAACTGTATGAAGCAACCTGCTAAAATGGAGAAGAGGAACTACCAACAGAGTCCACAGCCATACTCAGTGTAATCACGGTTCACTGCTCGATGCGCACGGCCGCATTAACCATAGGGCTAGGCGGGGCTTAAGCCCCGGGGCCCAAGCAAGAAGGGGGCCCGTGATTGGCTGTGGAGCAGATACTGCAAGCCATCTGATTACCAAAGCCTTACCACGCAACGTCCCCCACAAATTATCCCTGTTATTTAGTTGCACTTTGCCTTATATTCCATGCATTATCATGGAATCGTTATCATTAATAGAGACGTTCGCAAAGACCCGCCTTTTTTAGGTACTATGTGACGGGCCACGAGTCAGGCGGGTCTCACGAGTCACGCACATCATGTTCTCATGCACTCACGCAGTGAAAAATACTTCGCGGGGCAAAGACTAAAGTTACACCGAGTGATTACGAGAGAGAGTTCAGAGCAGCTTACTGTTGATATGAAACAAAGTCTCAACTTTCAAATATTGTCATTTAAGTAATTTAAACATTACCGTTTTCAAGTTCATGTCCACCGACTGACAGCTTTGTTGTCGGACAAAGTTGCGTATTCGGCGTTATGATTGGCCAGGCCACCTGTCATTCAAACCCCCGTAGGCATGCAGGGCCAACGGCTCTGAGCAGGGCATGGTAAATTGAAATGTCAGGTTTTAATTTGATATGACAAATATATTTATTCTATATTCAACTTGTGAACGACCGACCTGCTGCTGCATGTGCCTATAGATGATGGCTGCCTGCGCCTTATTAGAATAGGCTATACATCAACCAATAAATCGCCTTTACTCTTTTCTTCATTATAATCTAGTCTATTCTTAAAACACAGCGTCATCATCGACCCCGCAAACTTTCGGTAAGTTTGAATATTAACTTGATGGATGTATAATTTTGCTTTTTGTGTTTGATTAAACTCTATATTCGCCTAAAGGACTGGCGATAATATATCCGGTAGAAATATTTAAATTTTGCTGCGCCATCATGATGTAAGTTTATCATTTAAACGCGTTTTTAAACGTTGTGGTTTGGATACAAATTATTTCAAACTGCTCAGGCACAGCAGCGGGAGAATTCATTTTGTAAATGCTGGTTTTGAGACCAAGGTGAACCATAGACTGTGGTGAACTTGAGACGTTTTGCACAGCGCACTTGAATCCGACTCTGAGGTCTCAAAGACCCCATTTACACCTGGTATTAAAATGCGATCTGTATCCAGATAAGTTATCCGGATAATAAAAAACGCATGTTAATGCAAGGTGTAAACGCGTTGTGATCGGATCGTGATCGGATCTGCCTGACCACATCTGGAGGTAGTCTGGCTCGCATTGTGTCCGGATCTTTACTAGGTGTAAACGCAATCTGGTTGTTGAAACCACATAGTTTACTCCTCCCAAAAATGCAAAAAAATAAACGAGTGAGAGCTTGTTATATAGGCAATATGTCATGTTAGTCAGATATGACGGCGCTACTGTGACACGCATCACCGCAGATGAGGAGCTGAGCGTCTATTCATCGAGCCAACGCGCAAACATCGCAAACAAAAGTGAAAGTAAGTCACAGACGCTTCATCTTCAAGTAAAGAAACGAAATTATCTTACCAGCGCTGTTGCCACTCTCTTATTGATGGCTTTGATTTGGAAATTAGCTGATGATCAACTAAATGCAGCTCAGATCTGTTGCTTTTGGTGTCGTGCAATCCATTAAATCTGCATATAACGCGGGAGTTTAAGATCGGATTTATATCCGTTTTGCAAAAACACATTTATGTGGCCAGGTGTAAATGGAATCAGTACTTATTATCCGGATAACTTATCTGGATACAGATCGCATTTTAATACCAGGTGTAAATGGGGTCAAAGTGACAGACGCTGCTAATAAAGCTGCTGTCGCCATGTGTGTCAATAATGTTAATCAAACATCATCAGAAAGAAAGTAATTTACTGCATTTGACTGAATTACTTTTGCAAAATTAACAATAATGAATGTTGAATTTATAGTGAAAACCATGTATTGTATATTTGATTACTTTATATAATATAATATAATATTATTCAGTGCTTTAAGTTTTTCATAGGTCGATTTATTGTGCCTTTGTTCTATTTTAATTTGTGACTCTTGTCATCAGTAAGCTTGAGATTATTTTCTTAAGCTACTATTATTTTTTGGTGATATTGAAATTGGTCACAATAATTATGAAATTTTAGTCAATACATTTTGATATGATAAAAAAAATCGTGTTAAAAGTAACATAACTTAACTGTGAAGTATATCATAGATGGATAAATAATAATATCGTATATCGTATATGACTCGTATAATAATATAACATTTAGCTCATGTAGTTGGTGACCTAAAGTGGTGGGGGGGGGGGGGGGGGAGGGGGCCCTGCAGTAACTCATAGCCCCGGGGCCCAGTGAGCTCTTAATACGGCCCTGTCGATGCGGTCAAGTACCGAGGAACATGTTTCCAAACCTAAACATGTAATGTCACAATATAAGCACAGCCCACAAGCCCACAGTCACCTTGCTCAATTAAAACCAGACAAAAGGTTACACAAGCGACTAACAAAGGGGAAGCAAAATTAAAAATATAATCCTTCATATATTTTCTTAACCCTCCTATTATCCTATTATCCTTGACCCCATTCAATGTTTAACGTCTGTAAAAACATAATTTATTTATTATTTGCTTCAGATTGAATGACTTTTCCTAATTTAATGGGGACAACTCTGTAACATAAAATTAAACTGCTAATATTTTTTTCAAGTCCTGTACACATTTTGTAGCATTAGTGTTCCTTGGGGTCAATTTGACCCCAGGCTCTTTTAGTTGTATAATAAAACAGAAGAAATATTAAAATTTCACACACATTTGTTTTGGTTGTTTTATTGAGGTCACTATAACATGTTATAATTTAAATATATAATTGTAATTTTACATATTCAATATCATATTCAAAAAACTCTATTTGGGCTATAACCAAACAGAGCCATATCTGTAGTATTGCGAGGACTACTAGTAGTTCACATGACATGTGACATAATTCTCAAGAGTACTAATAATTCTTTCCTGTGCATTGGGGAGGGGAAAACGTCATTTTTGTGAGAATTTTAATGTTTCCCGTGCCATGGGGGAGGGGAAAACGTAATTTTTGCGAGATTGACCCCAAACATAACTCGTGTTACTATCCTTGATAAAATAAATAGTTTTTCTTTCCAAATGTTATAGATTACAAAAATCTATACTTAGAAATATTATAAAACAAATAAAACACCAGATGTATTTATACTTTTCCAATTTTAGGTCAAATCAGTAAGATTTTATGTTGATTTGTAAATTTGTCCATAGTCGTGCAATGGGTATTCTGGATGTATGAGGGGTTAGGTGTGGTGGGTGGATGCCAACTTAAAACGTTACTTAAGTAGTCAACAAAGACATAATTTAACTGAGACAAACCTTTGTTAAAAAAATCATATTGTGGAGATTTAAATTACTGGGGTCAAATTGACCCCAATGGGTAAAAAGTGTTATCAGATTTGAGGGTAACAGGAGGGTTGAACATGTGTGTTTGCACTGAATCAGGCTATGATCGACCTCTGTCATGTTACTCCTGCCAGCTTTCTGATCTTGATCCAGTAGAGGATTCATTTAATGTGTGATTCTGATTCTGGTTCGATCCAAAATTTAACGTCAGAATCAGCCAAATCAGGGATTGTAGTAAATTAGTGATGGGTCGATCATGAACGATTCCGGTCATTTTGAACGAATCTTTAATATGACTTGGGAGTACAGAGTTGTCTCAGAGAGTGATTCGTTCATTTTGTACATTTTGCACAAAGTGAACTGTCTTTATAAAGTTTCTTCTTATTAAACAGTCTGTTACAAGGTTCTCAATGCTTCGTTTTGCATGTATGGACCCTCAATATGTTACTAGCCGCTTTCCGACCAAGTAGTTACAGGAACTTAAGTTATAGGAACTGTCCATTTCTAAACAGTTCTAAGAATTACTCTCCCCCAAACTCGGTTTTGCTGCTTGCGTTCGCACTGGCCAAGTGGCCATAGGAACTGGTAGGAGGGGTAACGCAAGCACGGCGACGGTCTTTATAGCGTCATCACTAGACGTAGCGCGGCCACATACAACAACAACAAACCAGCTATTAAACACAATCAGAATTATTTAATTAATTTCATTCTTTTAATGGCAAAATTTTATGTTCATAAATGCAAATTCTCCTGTAAAAAGCCTAATTTTATTTTATTTAGGAAAGAAATTGAGCTTTATATTGATTCACTCCGATTTTCTATGAAGCAAAAAGCGTTTAAAACATTGAAAATATGCAAATGTTATAATATCTTTATATAAGTTTACAATACCCCCCTAGTATGAAAGACTTTGTAATGTATATATTGTATGTTAATTTTGCTAAGATTGTTCTTAATAAAAAAAAAAATAATAATAAAAAAAATAAAAACAAAGACCGATTGAAATGTTCCTGTTTTGCCTTGCCGGGACCTTAATAACGGAGAACGAACGGCGGCGTTTAAAGATTATGCTTGAGTTCTGTACAGAGAAACACTGAAGACGAATGCTCCAGCGTAATATCCCAGATAGCAAACTGACATTGAATCAACGTTGATCTGACATTGTTTTGCTCATCGAATTAACGTTGATCCAACGTCAGATGCGTCATTCTTTCAAAACTAACGGAAAATCAACTTGAAATCAACGCGTTGTTTCAACGTTATGAAAGCAAACCAATTTTCGATTTCATTTAGCTTTGAAGAATGCCGCGTCTGACGTTGGTTCAACGTTAATTCGATGAGCAAATCAACGTTGTTTCAATGTCATGAGAGACGTCGTTTCCACGTTGATTCAATGTCAGTTTGCTGTCTGGGATGATATTAAGAAGATAAAAGAGCAGAGAGCAGGAGGCAAACAAAACGACAGGTAAGTTTAGCTAGCATTAGCAATTAGCTGGTTGAATGCGTTATGTTTGTCTTAATCCTCGTTGTAATGTTTTGCAAAAACACACAGCGTATGGCAGACAGCGCGCTACAAGTTCTGTGTTGACAGTGGGCATGGCTTATAAGTTGAACCAATCAATGTAGACCTAGGGAAAGGGAACTAAAAAAGTCCTCGCTCTAGACTAGGTACTGAAAGAGTTATAGGAACTACGGTCTGAGGAACTAAAAAATCCCCAATTTAGTCCAGTCAGAACACGAGAAAAAAAGGGTTATATGAATGTTAGGTTCTAGGAACTGCAAAAGTCCCTCCGGTCGGAAAGCGGCTACTGCGTTAGTGTGGGGCTATTTTGAGCCTTGTTAGTGGTATAAACTAGCGATTTCTTTTTAGTTAGTAAATGCCCCCAGTACTAGAATTATACGCTAATCAGTTTTAGAGATAAAACTCTTTACATTCGATTATCATGAAAACAAATCTCAGAGAACGATTGACTAGATACCAATGTTTTATTAGACCAAAGGTTCATTTTGCGCCGGAGTTGCCCTTTAAGTGGTGAGACTGCAAGAAGGCTATACTTTCCTAGCCTGGCTGCGCCCGCCTACGCACTTCCGCTCAATTTCATTTTCCTTCAGTACTGCATCTGGGACCGCTCCATATCCTTAGGTTTCCAGAAATCAATTTTTTGTAGGACCAATCAGCGATTAGAGGGAGTGGCTGAGAAAGATGACGTTGATGTAAGCGCGTCAGTTTGAGTGCAGTAATGGCAGCGGAGAAAGACGTGAGAAAAGCTATTCGGTCCGTTGTTGGAAAAGAAACTGCCGAATATACAGAATTTAAAGCCGGATTGTTGTCGTCTCACCTCTTGTTGCACAACGGAGGACCAAGTGAAGGAGGCAGAAAGGTTGGAAGTTTGTGCTGGGCAGCTCGTGCACAATGACCGTGACATTTTGGACTTTAGCCTGGTGTTCGCGGTGTTCGGAAGCCCCGAGTCCTGGATGCTAAACTATTGTTGAAGATCCGCTCAGGAGTCATGTCAGTCGCTCAGATTCCCAACTGTAAATTTACTGATTCTTGTGATGAACATTTTGAGCCCCTTTGTGCACTCGTGCAGGAGGTTGGTGTTTCAGTTTTACATGTTGTAAATCATACAAATTGGTTGTAATTTAAAAAAAAAAAAAAATTGTCATAAATAAAAATTTGAAAACCCATACTTTGGAGACTATTTGATTTTCAGTTTTAGATGTCAATGGTTAATTTGTTTTAATAAAAAAAACAACTAAATGCCATATAAAAATGTACAAACACATACTTTGAAGACCATAATTAAGGTAATTAAGAAACAAAAATACGTAATATGAAAAATTGTTGTTTATTACACATCTGCAGACAGACTGATCATTCACTGTAACTTACAGCATTGACTGAATAATCACTGTCCTTCATGTCAAATTTACATTTCGAATTAATAATTGTTCCTAGATTAACAAAACCTGCAGCTCTCGTTGACTGAAATCCTATTGTAAATTTAATCCTCTGATCATTCGGAGTTCGGACTTGTTTCTTTTACTGTCTATGGTTGTTTCCAGCCGTTTCGGCGCATGACATACGTCACTCACGACCACACATTAGCGATTGGCTATGGCAGATCGTGAGTGACTCTGGGCAGATCCAATAGATTTGAACTTTAATAGTGAACCCGCCTACAAGGAAGGAAACGTTTCTCAATTGAGGGAGGCCCGACTCTCTGTACAAATGAAATGTATGTACGAGAGTCTGGTAGAACCAGGCTAATACTTTCCATACAGACTTCAGTTTTCTGCTGTGAGGGGCCACCCACTGCCGTTTTATACATCACTCACATGAACACCACACTCTGCTGTTTTCCTGTATACCATACAAGGAGACAAAAACATCTCTAGACCCTAGAAAGAGGAACTGTTTTGTCAGGATGTCAAATAGACATATAAAGCCTTTAGTTGCAAAGACATCTTCAGCTCACATTTGGACACAGTGAACAGTTCTCTCTTTTGATTATTATTATCAATCAACCACAAAGTATTTTAACATTCTTTCATACATCTTCATGAGACATGTTAAAACAAAATTCTTTCAAAAAAAACGGCATGATTTTTTTTTTATGATTTTTTTTCTTTTAATTTAGACAAATTTAATTGTATCTGAAACTGGGCATGGGAAAGGGAAGTAAAATTAAGTGTAGTATTTTTGTGTGCAATTTTTGTGTGATTAATGTTAAATGGGGGATTTAGTATTCTTCAATGTTTTGCTATGCGAATTTAGTTGGGTTTCTGTTGTGTTTTTTTCTTATAGGTGGGGAGCGGGGGGTTGCATTTCTTAACGTAAACAGTTTTAAGTAACTGATTACCTATTTTTTTTTTAAGTTTTGCCTACTTATTCAGGTTTATAGTAGCAATGAGTGCTTTCGAATCATTGCTCAATGAAGCTTCGAAACCTTTATGAATATTTTGTTTGGAATCAGTGGTTGGAGCGTCAATCAAACTGCCAAAGTCACGCGAGTTTATAACCGAGGCTTCGTTACCTCATAACTTTCGAAATCGAAATTTCAATGGTTCACCACTGGGGGGCGATGATCTCTGTGAACCCATGAATCATGTGGATGAACTGAGAACCATCTAATAATCTGATCCGGATAGGAACTTTTCAGGATCACCAAATCTGGATAACCAGTGCTCAAACAGGACAGGAAATCACAATGTACAACTATGAAGAGCAACAGGTAGACAAAACAAGTAACAAACACTGTACATTGAGGATATTTATAGCAAGTTTCAAATATAGATGTGTTGAATAAAATAAAAAAAAAGACTTAATGTCAAATACTCCACAATAATTTCAGACTTGCTCATCTGATGTGGAGAGACCAGTTTGTCTGAGCGTAGCCTTTAGGAGGCGGATATCAAGTCTGGCCTTGGTTTGCTGCAGACTCAGAGTCAGTCGTTCCTCTGCCAGAATGAGCAAAAAGGACATGCAACAAGGGACGCAATAGTTAGACACGTCACTATTTCTGGATTTGGATTTGTTTTGGATTTCAAAAATCAGTAATTGCCATTCTTTGCATTTTTTGGTTATTCTGTAATCATTGCATGCATCACTAATAAATATTCTAAAAACAAAAATATTTTCGATTGTGATGAATATATATATATAAATTAGTGACTGGATAAAATGTATTGTTTTTGGTCCATTTTGACAGCTGTTTGGGGGATTATTTTATGAGGCCAAACTCTTTCTACTTTGCTGTAGGCCTGAAAGGCTGAATACGCTAAAGCCTACCTAATCACCTGACGGATGAACAAATAAAATAAAAACGTATGAATAAAAAAAGGATATCTTGTAAGATACTGCATGATCCAAATATAGTATTATTTGATACATTTTTAAAGTTTTTATTACATTTTGGGCATTAAAATCCACGTTGAATCTGATGGGATCAGTTTAATCCAGATTTTTTGGATCAGAGTGATCCAAATCCTACAAAAAAGCTCAGAAAACCCCAAACTAAAGGTTTGATCCGGATCAGAACCAAGATTGGATTAAGTGATCTAATCCGATTATGTAATCTGTTTTTTCTTTTGAAAAACCCATTTTCAAGATTTGATCCAAAATCCTAGTGGATTACTTTTGAAAAACCGAGCCCAGGATATCTATTTCTCAGGCTGGAGAGAGTAAAGCTCAACATTATAATCATGTGTAGAAACTCTTCCTGAAGACATTTAAGACCTACTTTACAGACACTCATGAAGTGTGTGCAAATACTTTCTGTTCCTCAAAACTGGCTCGTCTCTTCACTGGTGTTGATTCGTCATAAGAGACGTGATGAAACTCAGTTGAACTGATGATGATCATCAAAATACCTTAAAAACTGTTTTAGAGTTCATTTACTACGAGTGAGTCACGGATAGTGGAAGAAGAAATCTAATTTTATTATTAAAAATACAATTATTTTATTTCTAGATTTTAAAGTCATGCGGGAAACTGCTAAAATAAAGAAGTGAAGCTAACAGTAATGCTCTCGTGTGCAAAAGTAGATATAAACTGTTCAGATCAGATGTGTGTTGAGCCAGTGCGGTTAACAGTGTATGCACTTCCTACACGTTTCACACACACTTAAAGCCACACGTCACTGTCACTATAGCAACTCTAGCAGAATTAAAAACCAAAGATAATAACCAGAGGAGGAGCTAATGATGTTTAAAGGAAGAGCTATACTTATATATAATGAAGAGAAAGACGATCAGAAACGGACAGAAGCAGAAATGTCTGATCAGTGTGATCTGTGTCTGCTGGGACTGATCATTCTCTCTTCACTTCTCACAGGTAAAGAAATCTGTATTTTCTCTAAACACATTTAGTGGAATTAGTCTGGAAAGAGTTGATTTGAACATGCTCAGTTTATTCTTGCACACATTCACGTTGTGATCTCAGAGTTGTGTATTGATACACACAGATCATACTGTATTATTCCTGATACTGGACATAGTGTCACTCAAACATCTGATGATGAAGAATGATCTTCATATTAAGAGTGTGTCAGTGATTTGAACAGCTCTCTGATAAACACTCATAGTTTATTCTGGAGAGTGTGTTGATTGCTTTAAATGAGGAAAAATACTGTGATTGAATCTTCTGCTTGTTATGCTGGTATAGTTTATGTTTTCATTTATTAATAAATATCATAATGATCACTGAGATCTACTGTGTTTCAGGCACCAGTGGAGTGGATGATGATCATGTGTTCATCAGTTCTGGTGTAAATGTCCGTCTGTCCTGTAATAAAACTCTTTCTGACTGCAAATCAACTACATGGAACTACTATAACAGATTCAGACATTCAGCAACAGTTGAACTGATTGATTTAGGGATAAAGAGGAAAGACACAGAGAGACATGAGAGACTGAGTCTGGAGTCTGACTGCTCTCTGAACATCAAGAACGTCACAGAAGATGATTATGGATCTTACACCTGCAGACAATATGTGAACAACACACAACAAGGACCTGATACACGTGTTTATCTGCATGTTCTTCATGGTAAGTTTATGATTATATGGTCAATATAAAATTCTCCCTTTAAACTCAGATGATGATTTATGAGTCAAGTCATCTTCATTTATATAGCGCGTTTAACAATATAGATTGTTTCAAAGCAGCTTTACAGTGATAATAGGAAATTACAGTAACAGATTTAGACTTTACAGCAGATCTAGAATAAAGTTATTGTCCAGCTGAAGTTAGTTTTGATTGATTCACTTCAATGAAACTTCAAAAAAGAGCAGATTCGTTATTAAACTCAGATGATGATTGAAGAGTCTGTGATTTGTGTCTTGTGTTCAGTTTCAGTGTCTCCATCATCATCTTCATCTTCATCCTCACAGACTGAGATCAGTCCAGGCCGCTCTGTGACTCTCTCCTGTCAGTTGGATTCATATACTGGATTCTCCTGTGATTATTGGGTTCGTTATGAGGGAGTTGAGCTGTTGTGGGTGAATCAGGCTGGTGTTGATCTGAAGACAGACTCCAGATATCAGATATCATCATCATCATCATCATCATCATCTCCAGATCAATATCACTGTATCATCATCACTCTGACTACAACACTCCTGAATGAAGATAACAACAGAGAGTGGAGATGTCAGCTTACTCACAGAAATCAACTCAAGGCCACAGTCACATACACTGTCAAGTATTCAGGTGAGGAAACAGTCTCATGAATCAGTGTTATCTGTTAGATGTTCTACACTGTAAAAAAAAACCTAATTTCACAGAAAATAACTGTGATTTTTTGACGATCATTTTCTTTCATTTTAACACTGTAAAATTACAAATAATATCTGCAAAAATAAAAATGCAGCTGATATTTTAGGTATTGTTACATTAAAGACAAAGACATTAAAGTATTTTTCAGGTATTTGATCATAATAATGCATTGTTTTTACAGTTAGTGTGTTTGATCGTAATAATCCAGATAATAGCTGTAAAATAACAGTGTTTTTCTGTAAAACATTAAAGAAAAATATCTGTAAAATGTTTTTTGCGCTTAATTTAAATTAGGATATTTTACTTTATTTTTACGGTATTTGTTTGGCAGTCATTTGACCCTTTTTTTACGATTTTATTTTTTACAGTGTATATATAATGATAGATAATGCTATAGATAATGCTAGAGTTATCTTGTGTTAAGTCAAATCTACAGGTATGAATCATCTGAACAAACATTCCTCTTTTACAGCTCAAGCTGATTCAACGACAGCAGTGAATCCAGTCCACATCACACACTCTCAATCTCCCTCAACAACAAACACACACGTATCTAAAGGTACTTCATTACTGTCTGTCTCACATCAGCGCTGTGCAGTGTCTCTCAGATGCACTTTTCTTCTAAAATCAGTCCCTAGATATATACCTGATTCCTCTGTTAAGACATTAAGAGACAGAGAACAGGGGATCAGGAACTGTGTGCAAAGTAATAAGATTTTCACACTTCACTGTGATTCGCTGAACTCAAAGTAGAAATGGTTTCATGTGTTTACATGTTTACAAATGTTTTCAAACGTTTTTTAATTTTGAATAAAATGAAAACTATCCAAATCGTCCCAACTATTTTGAGACCTGTAGTGGGCATCAAATTTGAAATGAGCTCATTTAGTGTATAAAAGTGTAAAATGTCTCTGTTTAAACATTTGTTATGTTATCTAATATTGGCTCGTGTGATTTGAAAGTCTTTTAGTTTCCATTTTATTCAAATTAAAAAAAAAATACGTCCCAACTTTTCTGGAATTCGGGTTGTAGTTGTTGATGATGTTGTGTATATGATGTATTATGTGTTGAGCTGAACTAACACGCGTGATCCACAGGTCCAGCTGATCCAGCATCAGAAACTTTAGTGTGTGTGACTGCTGGATCATTATACAGAGGTACGACACGTTGATTTAGACTGACAGCTTTATAACATTACACTATCAGTCAGTCTGTAAATGCTTCATCAATAACTGCTGATAGATGAAGACCCTTGACTTCAGTCATGTCCAGTTTCTCTTCTTCCTCTCATGTTTCCTGCAGTGATTGTGAGTATTGTTGAGATGGCAGTGTTTGCTGCTCCTACTGTGATTCTTCTTCAGATCATCTGTGCAAGAAGAGCTGGTGAGTTTGAGCCGCACACATTCTGAAGATTCACACTCATCTGATCTGAACATCTGCAATCATGATAAACACACACGAGAGGTCAGGCAATGCTTTTATTTTGAATTATACGAGAGGACAGTCAATGCTTTTATTTTGAATTATATGAGAGGACAGTCAATGCTTTTATTTTGAATTATATGAGAGGACAGTCAATGCTTTTATTTTGAATTATATGAGAGGACAGTCAATGCTTTTATTTTGAATTATACGAGAGGACAGTCAATGCTTATATTTTGAATTATATGAGAGGACAGTCAATGCTTTTATTTTGAATTATATCAGAGGACAGTCAATGCTTATATTTTGAATTACATGAGAGGACAGTATGCTTTTATTTTGAATTATATGAGAGGACAGTCAATGCTTTTATTTTGAATTATATGCGAGGACAGTCAATGCTTTTATTTTGAATTGTATGAGAGGACAGTCAATGCTTTTATTTTGAATTAAACGAGAGGACAGTCAATGCTTATATTTTGAATTATATGAGAGGACAGTCAATGCTTTTATTTTGAATTATATGAGAGGACAGTCAATGCTTTTATTTTGAATTATATGCGAGGACAGTCAATGCTTTTATTTTGAATTGTATGAGAGGACAGTCAATGCTTTTATTTTGAATTAAACGAGAGGACAGTCAATGCTTTTATTTTGAATTATATGAGAGGACAGTCAATGCTTTTATTTTGAATTATATGAGAGGACAGTCAATGCTTTTATTTTGAATTATATGAGAGGACAGTCAATGCTTATATTTTGAATTATATGAGAGGACAGTCAATGCTTTTATTTTGAATTATACGAGAGGGCCGTCAATGCTTTTATTTTGAATTATATGAGAGGACAGTCAATGCTTATAATTTGAATTATATGAGAGGACAGTCAATGCTTTTATTTTGAATTATATGAGAGGACAGTCAATGCTTTTATTTTGAATTATATGAGAGGACAGTCAATACTTTTATTTTGAATTATATGAGAGGACAGTCTATGCCTTTATTTTGAATTATACGAGAGGACAGTCAATGCTTTTATTTTGAATTATACCAGAGGACAGTTAATGCTTTTATTTTGAATTATATGACAGGACAGTCATGCTTTTATTTTGCAGGGAGGAAGGACGTGCAGAACCCAGAGGAAATAGAGATGCCCACAATATTACAATAACATATTGGTAAGTTTTGAGCAAATCTGCAACAATTCTTAAAATAGCAAAAACTTATAGAGGTTCGTTCAATGTTTTATTTATTATTTTTCTATTTTCAGAAAAAAAGAGAAAAAACTCTGACCACTCTGAAGAAATAGAGACACATCAAGTTTAGATTAAAATATTTGTACAAATAACAGCCAAGATTTATTTTCATTTATATGGATTTTATGGACATTTGTCTACAGAGTTTAAGGTCATTTTATTGTGGTTTGTATAAACTGCTTTAAATGTAATATTACATACAGTTATGGACATATTCAGACGTGTGTAAAAGCTTCTGTGTTCTGTGTGATGAAGCTGATTTGCTGATTCTTCTGTTAGTGTTTTAATTTTTTTTTTTAATCACTGCTACTAAATTTCCTTGTAAATCCTTTTGTTTGCCTTAAATGTTTTTAATAATTTAGCTTTTATTCAGCAATTTCTACTGTTGTTACAAATTTATTAAAATGTTTAATTTGGGTTCCAATACAATAGTATTTTAACTGTTCTCCATTTTGTTGTATAAATGACATCACAGACCTGCTTATCAGAGTTTCCAGCGAGATATTCCTGCCTGTCCTGATCTCTCTATTGTAAGTTAAATTAATCAGAGTACTGAGACTATCACCTTTTGTCGTTGAGCAGTCCGGCTGATTAGATTTAGTTTCTCTGCATTCGAATCACACTGTTATGCTGATGAGATCAGCGCTGGGGAGTTTCAGGTAGTGGGTTGACTCCTGTACTTCATTTACATGCTTTGTTTCAGAGTGTCTCCAACTCTATATGACCCCGCCCCCTTTAAAGGTGTAAACTCTGTCGTCCTACAAATCCTGTTCAAATAGGTCAGGGGTTGGCAAGTAAGGTTGGCATCGGGCCAAAAAATATTTTTGCCACTAGATGGCGGGCCAGAACATAGTCACGGATAATTTACTGTAAGAAATGAATTGATGGGAAAAAATATAGAATTGCCTGTGCCAGACTGTTGCAGTGTCTTTTGTAACTGGTAGTTAAGTAAGCTGTTACTTTGTGTTAAATCCTGTAGTAGGACCATCATTAACAAAAAGACACAGTTGTGTGGGGGTGTCCGTGTTTTACACTGGATACAATAATACAGCAATAGGGATGTGACACGAGTTTTATTTATTTAATTATAGAATATCTAATCGGTCGTGCGATTATTATCTAAAAAAAGATATGAAGATGAAAATAACTAGGAGAGTAAGAGTCACGTTACATACACACATAACAGGTAAGAACCAATAGCAGTAATTGATTAGGGGAATCCGTACTCACAACACAATCACAATCCGTACTTTGATCCGTAGTCAAAATCCATAAAGCAACCCAAGACACAAACAAAACAAGAACAGGCAAGACTTCCGAAGTAGTGTGACATAAAACAAGGACTCCGTAACAAACACTAAACAGGCAGGGTATTTATACACAGACCAAGACAATCATGATGGGGAACAGACTCCAATGAACAGAGACAAGGATTGTGGGAAATGTAGTTCCAACAGTGAATGACACGGTGGGGAAGGAGGACCTCTAGTGGACACCAGGGAACATAAACCAGACACTGTGACAGTAAGTATAACGTTGCAGAACGAAGCAGAAAAGTGAATCCAATCGCAAGCACATTTATTAACAAAACAAACAGGTATTCAAGGGTAAACGGAAAACAAAGAAACTCAGACCAGGAACAAGGAAACAGCTAACAGCAACCGTTACAACATTAAGAACTCACTAACACTGGAACAAGACACAGGGTTTAAATACAGAGACTAACAAACTAAACAAGATAACAAGAGGGCAATCAGAAACACCTGGATACCAATAAACTAGAAAAACTACAAAGGACTACAAAACAGAACAGGAAATAACTAAAGTTCACACAAGACAAGACAGGAATCAGACATGAACCCACACCGTGACAGAAAGAGGCTACAGAGAGCTGATCTTCTGACCAGTGAGTTTTAAAGCTTGAAGATGTCAATAAGAGCCAATCAGAAGTTGAGATTTTACAACCCTTTGAGTGCTAGCAGGGCATTTGAATCTGTAATTTGATTGGGTGTTTAAGAAAATAATCTTCAAGATTCTTATAATACCCATGCACCACAAAGTTAGCATAATCTAATGTAAATTAACAAATGGGGGACGAAGATTGGAGTTTATAGACACTAAACATCACACACTTATGATTTCGGTTAACAATAGTATGCACGTCTGAAACATTAACCCATTAGAGTTTACAAAAGAGCATAGGCATAACCACATAAAAGGAAAATCATGAGATGGGTCAATTAGATACATGTGTATATATTTATGAAGTGTTCAATTAAGAGTCACAGCCCTCTTCAAATTCCTGTGTTGGGGTCGTAAAAAGTCTTATCAGTCTTAATGTGTCCTGTATGATGTGGACACTGAGTTCTGCCAGTGTGTTAGCTTCATTTGTGATGCAAGTTTTGGGGGAAGTTACATAGACCTTTGTTGGAAGAGTGAGTTTGCTGGATTATATTCATTATCAACAGGTAACCTGCAAACTTGATCACATTTTCTCTTGCTGTGATAAACACTTTCAACAGCCCGAGCAAATCTAACATCAACTAGTCAAGGGCAAAGATTTTATTTCTTTTATTTTATTTCTAGATTTTAAAGTCATGCGGGAAACTGCTAAAATAAAGAAGTGAAACTAACAGTAATGCTCTCGTGTGTAAAAGTAGATATAAACTGTTCAGATCAGATGTGTGTTGAGCCAGTGCGGTTAACAGTGTATGCACTTCTCAGACGTTTCACACACACTTAAAGCAACACGTCACTGTCACTATAGCAACTCTAGCTGAATTAAAGATAATAACCAAAGATTATAACCAAAGATAATAACCAAAGATAATAACCAAAGATAATAACCAAAGATAATAACCAAAGATAATAACCAGAGGAGGAGCTGTAACTGTATATACTGAAGAGAAAGACGGACAGAAACGGACAGAAGCAGAAATGTCTGATCAGTGTGATCTGTGTCTGCTGGGACTGATCATTCTCTCTTCACTTCTCACAGGTAAAGAAATCTGTATTTTCTCTAAACACATTTAGTGGAATTAGTCTGGAAAGAGTTGATTTGAACATGCTCAGTTTATTCTTGCACACATTCACGTTGTGATCTCAGAGTTGTGTATTGATACACACAGATCATACTGTATTATTCCTGATACTGGACATAGTGTCACTCAAACATCTGATGATGAAGAAAGATCTTCATATTAAGAGTGTGTCAGTGATTTGAACAGCTCTCTGATAAACACTCATAGTTTATTCTGGAGAGTGTGTTGATTGCTTTAAATGAGGAAAAACACTGTGATTGTATCCTTCTGCTTGTTATGCTGGTATGTTTTATGGTTTCATTAATAAATATCATAATGATCACTGAGATCTACTGTGTTTCAGGCACCAGTGGAGCGGATTATGATCATGTGTTCATCAGTTCTGGTGTAAATGTCCGTCTGTCCTGTAATAATGCTCTTTCTGACTGCAACTCAACTACATGGATCTACAGAAGATTCAGACGTTCACGGACAGTTGAACTGATTGCTGGAGGGATAAAGAATGAAGACACAGAGAGACATGAGAGACTGAGTCTGGAGTCTGACTGCTCTCTGAACATCAAGAACGTCACAGAAGAAGATTATGGATTATACATCTGCCAACAATATGTGAACGGACAACAACAAGGATCTGATGCACGTGTTTTTCTGCATGTTCTTCATGGTAAGTTTATGATTATTTAGTCAATATAAAATTCTCCCTTTAAACTCAGATGATGATTTATGAGTCAAGTCATCTTCATTTATATAGCGCGTTTAACAATATAGATTGTTTCAAAGCAGCTTTACAGTGATAATAGGAAATTACAGTAACAGATTGTTTTTGCTTTACAGCAGATCTAGAATAAAGTTATTGTCCAGCTGAAGTTAGTTTTGATTGATTCACTTCAATGAAACTTCCAAAAAGAGCAGATTCGTTATTAAACTCAGATGATGATTGAAGAGTCTGTGATTTGTGTCTTGTGTTCAGTTTCAGTGTCTCCATCATCATCTTCATCATCATCATCTTCATCCTCACAGACTGAGATCAGTCCAGGCCGCTCTGTGACTCTCTCCTGTCAGTTGTATTCATATATTAGATACTCCTGTGATTATTGGGTTCGTTCTAAGGGAGTTGAGCTGTTGTGGGTGAATCAGGCTGGTGTTGATCTGAAGACAGACTCCAGATATAAGATATCATCATCATCATCATCATCATCATCATCATCATCATCACATCCCTGTAACATCACTCTGACTACAACACTCCTGAATGAAGATAACAACAGACAGTGGAGATGTCAGCTTACTCACAGAAATCAACTCCAGACGTCAGTCACATACACTGTCAAGTATTCAGGTGAGAAACACTGTTAAAGATCCTCATGATTAGGGTGACCACCCGTCCCGCGTAGCGCGTGCGCGCACAGCGTTTGAAGCCCAATTCATGCGTCCCGCAAATTGAGACCGTGTCACGCATAATCAATGCTTTCTCAAAAAGAAAAGAAAAAATCGGTCACTCTATATCCTCGAGACCGAGGCAGCCAAACGTTGTGCCTGAACACGTTCACGTCCATGAACTCGTTCATATTTTGGTTGAACTGAACGTATTGTTTTACTGCCTGTCCCGATGAACGTGTGAACTCGTTCATTCTGGTGTCTGCACGCTCTCTCAGTTTAATGGGGTGCCAGATTTCTATAGAGCCTTCCAGGCGAAAACTCGGCTAAAACTCACCGTAAACAGGGCTTAATATGTAGCGAAAAAAACACCCAATCTGGCAACACAAGCCATCAGTGTCGCACCGCGGCCGCCGTCGACAAAGGCGTCGTAAGCGGTCGTATGATAATTTAAACGGATTTTATAATGAGGTCGGTGAAGATGGGAAAATCTTACATTTCTGTGCAAACTTTGAACTTAACTAGTTCATTTTAAAATGTGTGAACTGAACTTTGAACTAGTTCATGTAGAAAGTGAACTTCCCCAACACTGGTTGCCACTCCCACGTGACCTGCCGACTAGGTTGATGTCAACTTTTTCATTGTTGTCATGACAGCGCAGCTTCTCGTTCCGTGAACCTCTGGAGCAGAGTATGTGAGCGGAGTGGAGTGGGAGCGGAGCGAGGAGTGGAGCGGCATGATTTTGAATGGAGCGCGGAGCGGATTTTTTAAAAGTCGGAGCGTCGTGGTTTTCACTCGCTCCGAGCGCGCTCCACTACTACCGCTCTATCACGAGGACAATTCATGCCAACGGCTCATTATAGAACTGCATTTTTAGTAAGGATTCACGTGTTAAACACATTACGCTAGCATGATACAGATGGATCACTCAAATCAGAAAAAAATGTGAGGGTTATGATGACGCCGATGGACATGAGTGGCTGCGGGAGGTTATAGTTATCAAGCCTGAGTGGGCACCACGATCTCGTGAAAGTGCGAATCTATAGCACACATTTTATTTCTCGTGCCTATTATTATATGCCAAACAAATGACGCACACTAAACCCCTTGGTTATGATGGGTGTGAAGTGCGTTCTTGCCATTAAGTGCGTATCGTCGGCTATGCCCACGAGAAATAAAATATAGATAGCCTACGCACTTTCATGAGATGGGGCGCTGGATCGGGCGGGGTGAAAGCACATTTTAAACAGGTAACACTTATTCACCAACGCAATCGCTTTCTCACTAATGCATTGCATTCAAACAAATGTAATCATACAGTCGGCTATCTGTCAGTATTTGATTTTAAATGAGCATGAATCTGTGAGAAATGTAGCGACCCGTAGATAAATAACTGATGAAAACGTAGTTATTTTCTTCTTTCCGAACAAAATGTGCTCTGCAAAAAGCAGCAATGATATTTAATTTATAATGCTGATAACCTGTAATAAGCATAGCATGTCATAGGAAAAGTTTGCACACTATCCAAATCCAATAAACAACATTGCAACTATTCTCCTAACGTTGTTTTTTTTTTTTTTTACTATGCCTATGTATCTATGATGAGGAGACATTTTGTGAGATTTTAAAGCATACTTAAATACTTTATTCGGAATTTCCTTGGGGAGCGAACACGGAGCGGTGTTTCTGATATCAGTGAGCGAGGAGTGGAGCGGGAGCGGTAAATGGTGAACCCGGAGCGGAGCTGGAGCGGAGTGATTATATAATGCTTGGAGCGTGGAGGGGAAATTGTTGCCGCTCCACTCCGCTCACATACTCTGCTCTGGAGTTGTGAGTTTAGACTATTTTTATTTATTTAAAGTGAATTAATTGTAATGAAAAATAAATAAAATTAAATAGCTAAAGTAAATCGTAAGTGGAAGTGCATCTGTCAATTCATTGAATGTTCAAAATATTCATCTTTATTTAGAAAAAAAATACACATTGGTTGGCCTATCATGAGCATCAGCATATAGCCTACCAGCAAAACATGTTTAGGGAATAGGGCATTATTAACGTATGTGCTAAGGTATGTGCTTTTTTTGAACAATTATTCAAAAATGTACAAACAGTAAGGCAATAGTAACAATTCTAGATATGGGTAAACCACTATCAGAGTCTGCCCGTGGGGTGGGGGCACCGCCGCGCCAAGCAGTGTCCCACCTTGTCCCTCAGAAACATACCCCTTGTCCCCCCTTGGGCTTATTAGCAGGTGGTCACCCTAGGTCAGGAACACTGAGGTCTATCAGTATCACTGAACCAGAACAAACTGAGGGAACAAAAGCTGCTTTGACTCTCACAGAAGAGAAACTCAAAGCTTTGCTTCAAACTAATGAACTGCAGTGAAGTCACAGTCCCAAAAGACATGCTGATAAACTTATTTAAAAAAAATAAACTTTTTATGTGATGTGATGATCAAAGTTAAAATATAATGGTAATATTGTACAGTATGAAGCATCTGAACAAACATTCATCTTTACAGCTCGAGCTGATTCAACGACAGCAGCGAATCATCACAAAATTAAAATTATAACAGCGCTTTTAACGATATAGATTGTTTCAAAGCAGCTTTACAGTGATAATAGGAAATTACAGTAACAGATTGTTTAGACTTTACAGCAGATCTAGAATAAAGTTATTGTCCAGCTGAAGTTAGTTTTGATTGATTCACTTCCGTCAAAACGATCATTAGTTATTAACTTAACTTACACGACACCGTTCTAACAGAAAACCCTCAACGCGCTCCGGCTGTTCGTTCACACAACAACAGCGCCTGGCGACTTGAGAATGTTTGAAAAATGTCATCATCTCCGTGCGCGTGTGTGTGTGTGTGCGTGTGTGTGAGTGAGTATATGGCGATCTGAGCCGTTTATCTTCCAGAGTTTTGGTGCTAAATAGGAAAAGGATCTCCCGCCTGCAGTGGATTTAGATATTCTAGGTATTATCAACTGGCCGGAGTTTAGAGATCGCAATAGACGTGAAGGACTATAATGAGTTAAGAGCTCGCTCAAATACTGCGGAGATAAACCATTTAGTGCTTTATACGTAATTAATACGAGTCTGTGATTTGTGTCTTGTGTTCAGTTTCAGTGTCTCCATCATCTCCATCATCACAGACTAAGGCAGCGATGTCATTCTGCATGATAAATGAGAAGGAAGTGAAGACACCCAACATCGTTTAGAGCACCTTTAAGGCTTTAAATGGCATTTGTTACACTGGATCACAAAACCAGTCACATGTCGCATGTGTATATTTGTGGCAATAGCCAATAATACATTGTACGGGTCAAAATGATCGATTTTTCTTATGCCAAAAATCATTAGGATATTAATTAAAGATGTTCCATGAAGATATTTGGTAAATTTACTACCGTAGATACGTAAGACATTTCTTTTTGTGAGTGAATGCAGAAATCTGAACATTAATGCAAAACTTTAAAGGCGATTTTCTCAATGTTTCGGGTTTTTTTTGCACCCTCAGATTCCAGATGTTCAATAGTTGTATCTCCACCTATCCTAAGAAACCATACATCAATGGTTAGCTTATTTATTCAGCTCTCATGTGATGTGTAACTCTCAATTTCAGAAAACTGACCCATGTGACTGGTTTTGTTGTCCAGGGTCACGTTTAGGTAATAATTTTTTTTTTTCCAGTGATCATAGCGAGGGCTTGGAGCCAGAAGGGCGTAAGTGGCTTTTAACAAACTTTACAGGAGAGACAAAACAAAATTTTGACCACGCTTCAATCACCTGTATTATTAACCTTAAACCACAAACATTGCAACCACAGGCATACTTACATGAATGAGTATTTAAGTAAAAAATGTACGGCATATTAACATTTTCAAAAAAACTAAAAGTCAAATACGTCAGATACGTCTTTTTGTTGCTTTACTCAAAACAGTTTGATCTCAGATCGGTATTTTGGCACCATTGGATAGAGCTCATCGAGACCTTTATTTTGATATAAATAACTCATATTCGCCCAAAATGCCCCTCTGGCTCCAAGCTCTCGATTGCACGAGGATCAGTGTGTAATTTCCTTTATTCCTATATTGTGTGTGATGTTGATAGGATGTTGTCTGTATTTTATGAATTGGATGTCATTTGTATTTAAACAGCAGAATTGAATTGTGTGTATCCAAGACAAATTTCCTTCGGGACAATAAAGCCAATCTTATGCATATATGAATTAAAATACAGTTTGAATTTCTAGTGAGTACACGTCCGTTATCCTTATTCGAGCTTGTGCTGCTCTCTAATCAACGTCTGAAATTTAGTTTTATGAGCACTCTTGAAAAATGGACAATGATCAAAACACCTTTAAAAATAGAGCAGCACAAAGCAATATTTAATGTTTCATGTCTCTGAGATTTCCAGTGGAAATGGGCGGAGCTTACGTGAATATTCACGAGTTTCCTGTTTTGTGTCAACCTAATGAAACTATTAGCGCTTCTCTGCTAGCATAACGGTAATTAGCTTACTTTAAACAAAGCTAAGCTTATATTCTGTTATTCATACACAACAGTTTAGCCTATGTTGGTACTTTATTAGCGTATAATGTGTCAGTTACAGCTGTGTTTGATATGATTACAGCCAATGATTTGTTTTAGTAATGGGACGTGTTGTTCATGATGACAGAGGAAGTCCACTATATAATAATATATATAATATAATAGAGGAGGAAGGATGCCCTCCGTTCTCCGTCACTCTGCGGACACTCTGTGTGACTCTACGACTGCTGGCCTTTTCTTGCACAAAAATAAATAACCTTTAAAGAAAATGTGTACGTGTTTGTCTCTTATTCAGTGATGTAAAATTGTTTGCCACCACAAGATCTTACAAATGTTTGTGCATATGCTTCCTCCAATTGGGCATTTATTACATGGCTTGGTAGAACGCGGTCGGTTTCTTGATAACAGACCTGCTCAGTATAACACACGTTTCAATGATAAACAGAGCGTTGCCATGGACACAGTTCAGGTTTAGCGGAAGCAATACAGTCGTTTTTAAATCAACAAACTGCTTTTTAAATCAATATTTTGTTACATTATTGATTTATTTGGTTGGTAGCCATCATGTAATAAGCTGGATAATGTATAGCGAATACAAACGCTTCAAAAATGAACAACGCATCGCTATACATTATCCCTTACATATGTTATATTTTCATAGATATATTATACTATACTGACTGTACACATGACATACTGTGACTTATGTGTTGGAGATTAGGTTTTGCTGACCGGGGGTGCGTTTCCCGTTCGCTAATTCACTACCATAGTACGATGCATCGTTGGAAAAATTGTAAGTTCTTACATAGTAGAGCACTTCACACATGAGCACTCATCAAACACGGTACTTCAAATCTTTTGACAAACTAAAAGACGTAAATTACATTTGTATGTATTCTAAATAAAAGCCCAGCTAACAATTTTTGGTTCCCAGAACGTTCTCAGAACGTTAGATTTTGGTTCCCAGAACGTTCTCAGAACGTTAGTTTTTGGTTCTCAGAACGTTACTTTTTGTGGTTTGTTTTTGGTTAGCTGGGAAAGTTTTCTTAACGTTCCCAGAACGTTAGATTTTGGTTCCCAGAACGTTCTCAGAACGTTGTTTTTTGGTTCTCAGAAAGTTAGTTTTTGGTTCCCAGAAGAGTGGTTTTTGGTTCCCAGAACGTTCTCAGAACGTTAGTTTTTGGTTCTCAGAACGTTAGTTTTTGGTTCTCAGAAAGTTAGTTTTTGGTTCCCAGAACAGTGGTTTTTGGTTCCCAGAACGTTAGTTTTTGGTTCTCAGAACGTTATTTTTTATGGTTTGTTTTTGGTTAGCTGGGAAAGTTTTCTTAACGTTCCCAGAACGTTAGATTTTGGTTCCCAGAACGTTCTCAGAACATTAGTTTTTGGTTCCCAGAAGAGTGGTTTTTGGTTCCCAGAACGTTCTCAGAACGTTAGTTTTTGGTTCTCAGAACGTTATTTTTTATGGTTTGTTTTTGGTTAGCTGGGAAAGTTTTCTTAATGTTCTCAGAACGTTAGATTTTGGTTATCATAACGTTAGTTTTTGGTTACCAGAAAGTTCGTTTTTGGTTCCCAGAACATTACATAGACAATAGTTCCCTATCGAGGGAACTCAACACTGCGTCGATAAAATCGACTCTTTGGGGACGCTCCCTAAGCGTGCGCCTCTGAAGTATGAATGAAACTAATCCAATCCTGATTGGTGTTGCGTCGTGACGTAACATGTGACGGCATACCCGGAAGTATAAAAGTGACGCTGTCACAACACACACTAGCTTTCGCTCTTCAGCAAGCGCTTTATGTTGAAACTGTCTGTCTTATTTGGTGTTGTTTGTCTTATTATTGAAAGAAAGTATGGCCAGTGAACAATTCAAGAGGTGTGTGCATCCCTGTCCTCGTTACATCACGGGTGGGGACGCACACTCTCTCTGTGTGTATTGTTTGGGAGTGCAGCACGCACGGGCAGCTCTCGAGGGGGCTGCTTGTGAAATGTGTGAGGCTTTGCCTATTAGAGTGCTGCGCTCCCGGCTGGCGTACTTTGACGAGCACGGTCAGGCTCGCGTTCCCCAGGGTTCCGGTCCCGCATATGTCGAGGCGATGCGGCGATTGAGATCCTGGGGTTCGCAGCGGGATCTGGCGGAGGAGAGTGAGAATGCTGAGGCATTTTCTCGCTCGCCATCGGCTGATCCCGCAGCCTCTGAGAGTGGGGTGGGAGCCCGCGCTGCGGTTTCTCCTACCCGCGATCAGGTCCCGGTGCTTGAGCTGTCTACTTCTGAGGAAGGGGACGTGCTCAGCATCGATGCGGACGACCGTGATCTCAGCACGCCATCACGCGGCCTGGGTTATGAGGAGCTGGTGGAGGTTGTGACACGCGTTGTGGCCAGACTAAACATCAGCTGGCCACAACATGAGCAGGAAACGCAAGTCACCAGTAAAATGGACGAGCGTTACCTGCAGCGCAGGTCACAGCCTCACCGCCGGGGTCTGCCGTTTTTCCCTGATCTCCATAAAGAGATCTCGAGAACGTGGGAAAGACCGCATTCGTCCCGTATTTCGAGTCCCAATGTAATAGATTACAGCAATGTTATGGGGGCTCGAGATATGGGATATGGGAAGATGCCGAAGGTGGAGGAGGCTTTAGCGAGCTATCTCTCTCCCGAATCGGCGTCTTCCCTAAAGACCCCGGTGTTGCCTAGTAAGCCCTGCAGAGAGACATCTGCATTGGTGGGCAGGGCTTACATGGCGGCGGGTCGGGCTGGTTCGTGTCTGCACTCAATGGCGATTTTGCAGGCATACCAGGCCGACCTCCTGAAAGATTTGGATGAGGGGGAGGGGCCTACTCCTGAAGATGTCGCGGAGTTGAGGAAGGCCGCAGATTTGTCTCTCCGGGCCACTAGGGAAGCGGCCAGCGCTATTGGCCGCTCTATGGCGGCCATGGTGGCCACGGAGGGGCATCTGTGGCTGAACTTATCCGGTATTAAAGAAAAGGATAGGTCCTTCCTGCTGGATGCGCCGCTTTCGGCTTCTGGCCTGTTCGGCGACGCCGTTAATTCGGTTGTCGACAGGTTTCAGGAGTCGAGAAAACAATCTGCGGCGTTCCAGCAGTACCTCCCCCGGAAAGCGAAGGCCAAATCTAGTAGGGGGGGGCAAAGCAATCAGCTCCAGCCATCAGCCAGCTCCTCCCACAGGGCAGAGCAGAAGGAGAGCATTTCCTCTAGAGCCCCCCCTCCGGGGTCTTGGCAACAGAGGAAACGCTCCCAAAAACCGAAGTCCTCCAGCCAGAGGGGCGACCTGAGGGACGTCATTCAGGCTAAGAGGACTTCGGAAAAGAGGTCCTAGCCAAGGCAGGACTTCAGAGGGCTGCCCCCTCCGCAGTGAGACAACCGAGGAACCATTGTTTAATTGTTGATTAAAAACAGACAAAAAAACACAATTATATAGGCCTAGGCTGTGCATCACATTCAAAACAGGCAAAACAAAAAGGTGAAACGAAAACAATTGTAGATCCTGCACTTGAAAGCCTCATCCATCTTCATCCATCTTCACCACAGTCATCTGTAAGAATAACAAATAGTAACATTATTACAAAGAAAAGTAAAAAAATATATATATTCTTCAATCAGTCACTGCCATTTAAGTGAAATGACTGAACCTTAAAGGAACACTACGACTTTTTGGGACTTTAGCCTATTCACCTCATCCCCCAGAGTTAGATAAGTCCATACATAGCTTTTTCATCTCCGTGCGTGCTATAAGTCTGTTTGACGCACCCACCGCTAGCCTAGCTTAGCACAAAGACTGGATGTGAATGGTTGCGGCTTTCATACTAATCCAAATGAGTGACAAAATAACGCATACGTTTTCCTATTTACATGTTGTGGTTTGTATAGTCACAGACTGTGTATACCTGCATTTTTTGTGGTTTTTTATGTATTTATGTATAATATGTGTGCTAAACAAAAGTGTATATAGTTTCTCATTGATAATTGTCTTGAGATATTCACATTTATTCACATTTATAAACTTGTTATTATAATCTCCTAAAGTCTTAGAATTTTTATGTTTTCAAGTTTATGATTAATTTTTATTATTTTTTATTTAATTTTGTAATACATGTTTATAAAAATACATGTTCACGGTTTTTATATGTAGATACATTTTTTTGCATACATTTAATTTATTGTAATGATTTTATATTCATACAATCAATTGTTTTAATTTTTTAAAATAATTACTATTCAGGTCAATGTGAACAATAAACAATGTCAGTTTCTCATGATATTTAATTAGTATATGATCATATATGTCCTATTTACATTTATTAAATTATTACAGGCTAATCTCTTTAGTTTTAGAATCTTTATCTTCATGGTTTCAAACTGCAATTTTGAAATTTTTTTATAAATATATTTAAAATATATGTGCATGGCTTTTCGTGCCATTAAAATTTTGTGCATACATTACATTTATTGTAGTAATCTTCATACGATTCTTATGTTTTGGAAAAAATAAACAACATAGAAGATATTTTTTGTATTTTTTAGGCATATCGGCATGTAGAGGTTAGGAGAACGTTCCGGGAACCTTTAGGGAACGTTCCCGAAATGTGAATAGATCACAATGTACACTGAGGAATAAACCGAGTCCTCAGTCTTCACTCATGTCGGTTTCGCAAATGTAAACAGACACATAGGGATCACACTTGGATGTTGGATCGTCTGAATATTACCTTTCTGCTCGTCTCCTCAGATCTCTTAACTTTTGTGCCATGCAGACCTTGATCTCAGTGCCTCCGATGCCTGGGTGCCTCTTTTTGACATAGTCTGTAAGAAATGAGATTGATTACATTAAAATTTGAAAACAAGTTTGTCATGACGTGACATAACTGCCAGATTCAAACTGTGCTTTCCACGCTATGGCTGGTGCTGACAGATGCGCTCAGCGCTTGTCATATAATAACTATTGATAAAAGATATTCAGACATGCTTACCAATTATTAGCTGCACCTTTTGTAGGTCAAGGCTCTTTTTTCACCAACAACCCCTTTTTTCCCGTTCATGTTGCCATCTCTTTGAAAGACAAGATGGAGTTCATAAGAGTTCTGGTTAACTTTTTGTAACCCTTACATCTCTGAGCATGATCCAAACCAACTGGGTTCATTAAGTCAGTCACAAACTTGTTCTGCAAAGCAAAAAATAAGATAGAAAATTTTCGTCAGGACCGAAACTGTAATCTTTTCAACGTTATTGCATATTAGATGAGGTTTTCACGTTGGAGCTGTGAGTGTGAATTTTAGCATACAAGTATTTATTGTTCATGCTCGAGTCTTGTTACTCTTTTACCTTCATAGGTATTCCAGAGTTTAGGGGTAAAATGCGAGAAATCTCCTTTAGTGGACTTTTATGCTGGGCACTACTCACTGATCTATATAAACGACTTGATTGCTCACGACGTCATGTAAATTGAAGTCACCATATTCAATTGAATTAATAGGAAATTATTATCAATGTTAAAAACAGTTATGCTGATTAATGCGTTTGTGTAAACCATTGTAACAGTTTAAACCATTTTTTCCCCTCCAAGATTCATTGTTAAATAGACCACAAACATATGAAGGGTAGTTTACACTAATGTTCAAACATTTGGGGTCAATGATAGATTTAAAAATTAATAGAACAAAAAAAGAAGAAATTTTTACTCAGCAAGGATGCATTACATTAACAAATATATTCAAATAAATGCTGTTATTTAAACCTTTCTATTCATCAAATAATCCTGAAAAACACAAAAATATGAAGCAGCACAACTGTTTTCAACACTGATAATAATCATAAATGTTTTTTTATTTATTGAGCTTCCTCGGCTCACCTGTGTCCTAACGTTACTTCTCCGGCAGCAGCTTTCTTCAGAAATGTTGAAGTAGGAGCTTTCTCTCTGTTATGGGTTATTTCGTTACTACTGAAATCACAGAACATTTAATCAAAATGTGTTTAACGTTACCATTGAGCTAACGTTAGTTTCGGCCAATTGCTCCTGAAAGTCCTGAAACATCACCGATACGTTACGTTTACGTTAAATAAATTAGCTCACTGTAAAACCCTTACAAAACCTCTCATTTACACATAATAGGTGATTAAAAGAAACTTTAATAAATAAAAGTTCAACCGAGTTAACGTGGATGTTAGTTAGCCTTGCTAACGTTAGCTGCTACCTCTTTAGCCTTGCTAAGTTACCTCTACGGACTTTTTCCGAAGACTACACCATGTCGATAAAGTACATTTTTAACAGAATCGTGTCAATTACAAGTAGGAGAAATGTCGAAAACAGTTGTGAGTATTATTCGTGTGCTTTTAGAGAGTAATCTCACCTGAAAAAAGCCGTGAAAAGTTGAAACAACAGCGAGACGAGAGGGAGTTTTGTTGTTTACCAGTAGCAGTGGTCCCGCGCCGTTTCCATGGCAACTACTCTGCGCGCCGGCCGCTCCAGTGTTTGAGAGACTCGAAAGTTCACGTGCACGGCATTAATGATTAACCACGTCAAAATCATGCAGCACGTAAATATATATATACATACAATAAAGATGTCCTGAAAGTGCTTTGTAAATAGAATATGAAAGCAGTAGCCTAGATTATATCAAATAACATTATTGTCGTTGAATATTCAACTGTAAACCTGGACTTTCACAGAGAGCTTTGGTTATAAAATTAAACCTAAAAATAACCTGCAGGGAACGTTCCCGGAACGTTCTCTTTAGGTTATAAAAATTAAACCTAAAAATAACCTGCAGGGAACGTTCTGGGAAGGTTCTCTTCAGGTTACAAAATTAAACCTAAAAATAACCTGCAGGGAACGTTCCCGGAACGTTCTCTTTAGGTTATAAAATTAAACCCAAAAATAACCTGCAGGGAACGTTCCCGGAACGTTCTCTTTAGGTTATAAAAATTAAACCTAAAAATAACCTGCAGGGAACGTTCTGGGAAGGTTCTCTTCAGGTTACAAAATTAAACCTAAAAATAACCTGCAGGGAACGTTCCCGGAACGTTCTCTTTAGGTTATAAAATTAAATCTAAAAATAACCTGCAGGGAACGTTCCCGGAACGTTCTCTTTAGGTTATTAAAAAAAAACCTACAGAGAACGTTCTTAGAACGTTCTTATTTGGTTCCCAAAAAAATAACCAAATGGGAACCATATGGGAACGTTAGGGGAACGTTCTGTGTTTACTGGGAGACACCGGTTGTACTGAATGTCAGCTTGCTTATTTTGCTCAAGATAAGGATTTATTACCTCCAAATATAGAAACGATGTCTCTAACCACAGGTCGAGAGCTGTCGTTCAAACCACACAACTTTGCGATGCTGTTTGCGAATGTTCGTTGGAACGATGGTTTCGGGAAACACCGACTTGTTAAACTATGCAGATAATGACGGAACTTGCGACCATAGTTGGCTAACGATGCTTTCGGGAAACGCACCCCTGTTTGTGTTTAGTGCAGTGGTGATTTGCTTATACAACCTGAAGAGGCAGGTGTCATCCTAAAATATCTTGAATGTCTTCAGTGTAATCTGATTCTCTTTATACAATAAAAATCCTATTAGAATTAAAATACCAAGGTCACTCGCATAAAAGGCCTCTCCATCTTAAAGTCCCAGGATGAATTTCAGTCCCAGTACGTCCCTGTCAGAGACTGATGTCAAGTTCATGAACGCATTGAAGTCTTTATCCAAATATTGAAGTCGAAATTCCTGCCCTTGGCGGACACTTTAATTTACAATCTTTTTGGAGAGTGCATTTGGTGCTTGTGCTTGCTTTTGCTTCCTCTTTGCTAAAGAAATAAGTAGAGGGATGACATTAGATTTGCATTTTACCAGCCACGTCTATATCCACTTTTATTTAGTATGTCTCGATCAGACATTGGAATAACATAATCATACAGGTAGGGTTAGGGTTAGGGGCTATCAGTGGTTTCTGTTCTTCAATGAATGTCTTGATTTCAGTGCATGACAATTTGAAATTTCATCTTTCCTGAAGCTCAGACTTCACCATTGCAACCGACAGTCTGTTTCTTTTATCAGACCAACCAAACATCCTCCATATGACTGAACACACTTTCTGCAGGCATTACTCACTGGAATGGAAAAACAAAAGCAACACTAGGCCTCCACGTCACACTCTCCAGCACTAAAGACACGATTAGCTACTTTGACAGTGTTGTTTGTGATGTGACACTTGCAAATACCCTTCACACTTTGTGGGTTAGCTTCTTTGAGTTTCTGAGAAACATATTTAACGGAAGCGTTATCTGCACCATCGGCACTGATCAGTCCTTTGTTTTCAGTAATAGACACTATTAGTTTGAATATGGCTTCACTAGATTCGTTGGAGTCGTCGTACAAGTCTAACAGTCCATACTTCACTCCCTCGGATAAACATAAATACGGGACCGTGTAGGGAAACAATTTTGTGTGTCCAGAATTGGACGCATCAGAACATACCGCAAAATATAAACTGGATATAAACTGTTCAGATCAGATGTGTGTTGAGCCAGTGCGGTTAACAGTGTATGCACTTCTCAGACGTTTCACACACTTAAAGCAACACTTCACTGTCACTAAAGCAACTCTAGCAGAATTAAAGATAATAACCAAAGATAATAACCAGAGGAGGAGCTGATGATGTTTAAAGGAAGAGCTATACTTATATATAATAAAGAGGAAGACGATCAGAAACGGACAGAAGCAGAAATGTCTGATCAGTGTGATCTGTGTCTGCTGGGACTGATCATTCTCTCTTCACTTCTCACAGGTAAAGAAATCTGTATTTTCTCTAAACACATTTAGTGGAATTAGTCTGGAAAGAGTTGATTTGAACATGCTCAGTTTATTCTTGCACACATTCACGTTGTGATCTCAGAGTTGTGTATTGATACACACAGATCATACTGTATTATTCCTGATACTGGACATAGTGTCACTCAAACATCTGATGATGAAGAATGATCTTCATATTAAGAGTGTGTCAGTGATTTGAACAGCTCTCTGATAAACACTCATAGTTTATTCTGGAGAGTGTGTTGATTGCTTTAAATGAGGAAAAACACTGTGATTGAATCTTCTGCTTGTTATGCTGGTATAGTTTATGGTTTCATTAATAAATATCATAATGATCACTGAGATCTACTGTGTTTCAGGCACCAGTGGAGTGGATGATGATCATGTGTTCATCAGTTCTGGTGTAGATGTCCGTCTGTCCTGTAATAATGCTCTTTCTGGCTGCAAATCAACTATGTGGATCTACACTAACAGCTTCAGACATTCAGCAACAGTTGAACTGATTGCTGGAGGGATAAAGAAGAAAGACACAGAGAGACACGAGAGACTGAGTCTGGAGTCTGACTGCTCTCTGAACATCAAGGACGTCACAGAAGAAGATTATGGATCTTACATCTGCAGACAATATGTGAACGACAGACAACAAGGAACTGATGCACGTGTTTTTCTGCATGTTCTTCATGGTAAGTTTATGATTATATGGTCAATTAAAAATTCTCCCTTTAAACTCAGATGATGATTTATGTGTTAAGTCATCTTCATTTATATAGCGCGTTTATCAATATAGATTGTTTCAAAGCAGCTTTACAGTGATAATAGGAAATTACAGTAACAGATTGTTTTGGCTTTACAGCAGATCTAGAATAAAGTTATTGTCCAGCTGAAGTTAGTTTTGATTGATTCACTTCAATGAAACTTCCAAAAAGAGCAGATTCTTTATTAAACTCAGATGATGATTGAAGAGTCTGTGATTTGTGTCTTGTGTTCAGTTTCAGTGTCTCCATCATCATCATCATCTTCATCATCACAGACTGAGATCAGTCCAGGCCGCTCTGTGACTCTCTCCTGTCAGTTGTATTCTGTATTCTCCTGTAATTATTGGGTCAGTTCTGATGGAGTTGAGCTGTTGTGGGTGAATCAGACTGGTGTTGATCTGAAGACAGACTCCAGATATCAGATATCATCATCATCATCATCATCATCATCATCAGATCGATATCACTGTATCATCACTCTGACTACAACACTCCTGAATGAAGATAACAACAGAGAGTGGAGATGTCAGCTTACTCGCAGAAATCAACTCCAGACGTCAGTCACATACACTGTCAAGTATTCAGGTGAGAAACACTGTTAAAGATCCTCATGATGTCAGGAACACTGAGGTCTATCAGTATCACTGAACCAGAACAAACTGAGGGAACAAAAGCTGCTTTGACTCTCACAGAAGAGAAACTCAAAGCTTCGCTTCAAACTAATGAACTGCAGTGAAGTCACAGTCCCAAAAGACATGCTGGAATAATAAAGGAATTGAAACTTGACAGCAAAAAATTAAACTTTTTATAATGTGACGATCAAAGTTAAAGAGCCCCTATCATAGCATTTGAAATGTTCCTATTTTTGTTTTAGGAGTTCCCAAAAACAGTTTAACATGCATGCAAGGATAAAAAACACTTTATTTGTCTTATAATATGCATTTATTTTTAACTGATTTGCTCAACGACTCCCAAATGATTCGTACATCGACTCATTTTTCCAAACCACTCCTTTGCGTGATGCTACCTAGAAGCTGCGCTGAGCGTAACTTACACACACACACAGATACACGAGCACACACATACTGCCTCACGCCCCGGCGCAACAAAACCGTTCAAAACCCATAAAAGTAACAATTATTAATAATACTTACAGGTTGTGATTCAAAGGAGGAAGCTGATCCATATACGTACACCAGTGATGCGCGGGTCAATGTATAAACAACCCGCAACCGACCGACGTTTTCAGCTACCCGCCCGCAACTCGGACCGCAAAAAAAAGTACAAAAAATATTGTACCCGACCCGCTTCCTGACCGCATTTTTTAAAAGTAGTAAATGCTCATCGGAGCGTTATTGGGCCATAGACGTGTAACAACACAGCATCGCAAGAAGACGTAGGCCTTGCTACACATAACAAAGGCAATGCCAGCATTTTGGTCATCATCTTTCATTATTTCAGCAAATGTCTCCCACACTTACTCTTTCTATTTGTGTATTTGCGCTGCTTCCACTCCCCAGTCTTCACCTTTTCTCTTGCCGCCTCCATCTCTCTGCAGACTGTAGTGATTGAGGAGAGCAAGATGGCACCTGTAACTGGCAGAGCCGCGGCTCGTCTCCTGCTGTGTAAATTATTAATGGTCTGTTTCTCAGTGTACGTGATCATCTCAGCCTGCATAACAGATGGATGCGTCTTGGCTTTATGGACTTACGACCGGGACTCTGTTTCACATCAGAGAGTCGATGGAGATCCTGTTTAGTAATTACGACAGGTTCAAACAGGCATTTCCTCCTCCATTTGCTATCAATCCTGACTCACCTGACTACTTGCTACTATACCGGGCTCCGGGTAGGGTCCGTAGGAGATTCAGGAAAAGAGGCTTGCGGTCCGGTGTCCAGGTCAGGCGAAGGCGTGCAGCTGCGCGCGGTGGCTCTGTTGTTTTTGGCCGCTGGGACCGCATCCAGTGCCTGCGGCGGATTCCTCTTCTCGATGTGAGCGGCAGCGTATCTTCGCCGCCGCCTGTTCGGATTTCAACGGGTGTCATGGATCCTTCACAGCGCTGGAGTTGTGGTCAGAGATTTTTGCCGCAAATGTTTACTTCCGTGTTTGTGCCGGCTCTTTCCAATTGGACCGTCAGGAGACCATGTGACCGCTGGTCGTGCCTGCAACCAATCCCGTTGCAAAGCAGGGACACTGCCTCCGTGACGTCGTCCAAAATACATTTCGGCCTGTTGAATGCTCGTTCATTTGCGAATAAATCGCATTCATTAAACGATCTTTTCATAAGAGAAGGCCTGGATATTATGTGTTTATCAGAGACATGGCAGAGAGAGGAAGAGCTTATTCATTTAAATGAGCTCTGCCCAGCTGGTTGCTCTGCTATTGGGAGGCCCCGCCCTTCTCGTCGCGGTGGTGGACTGGCTATTGTACACAAGGACATCCACAAATGTAATGAAATTTTGCCCCAAAAATTCTCTTCTTTTGAATTGCAGATGGTAAAGGTGGGGTTTTCATCCCCTTTCTACTGTATTTTGGTTTATCGACCTCCGGGCCCTGCTGCTGTCTTTCTAAAGGATTTTAGTGAATTCTTATCCTCTATAACTAAGATGGAATCTGTCTTAATCCTTGGAGACTTTAATCTTCATGTTGATGACAGCTCATCTTGCCCCGCAATGGAATTTTTAACATTGACTGAAACTTTTAATTTCAATCAGCATGTATCTGAGCCCACTCACCAAAAAGGCCATATTTTAGACTTAGTTTTTACACTTGGCCTAGATATATTAAATGTATCTGTAAATGATGTCTATATGAGCGACAATAATATTGTTCTGTTTGATCTTCACTTCAGTTCTGACCCAAAACTTCCAGTAATTAGGTCTAAGAGACGTGTTATCACGGCAAATACTGCAGATACTTTTTCTGATTTGTTTGATTCTGCTCTTGTTATGGACTGCCCTGATGTGGATGATTTCGTTCACTGTTTAAACAATCACTGTGAAAAAAATTCTGGATCAGGTGGCACCTGTTAATTCAAACTTGCCTACTCAGGATAAAATGTTGCCTTGGATAAACGAAGAGATTTTACAACTTAAAAGACTGTGTAGAAAGACTGAACGCCTGTGGAAATCCACTAGCCTTGAGGTACACAGGCTCTATCTCAGAGAACTTGTGTTGTCCTATAATGTGAAGGTTGGAAAAGCCAGATCTGACTATATTCGTCAACTAGTAACATTAAATAAAAAAAATCCTAAAGTGCTGTTTGATACGATCAACACACTTGTTTGCCCTGCTGCTCCAGTTATCCCTGTTTTTTTGTGAAGCTGACAGCAATGCATTTTTGGGTTTTTTCACAAATAAAATTAAAATGATTAAAGATAAAATCCCATCTCATTCGTGTGGTATCACTGCTGTATTTAAGCCAGTCTCAAGCATGTGGTCCACTTTTAGGACGGTGACGATTTCTGATATTTCTGAATTGGTGACCAGAATGAAGCCATCTACCTGTTCTTCAGACGTCATTCCTTTCAGATTATTCAAAAAAGTGTTTGATGAAATTGGCCCTTGTGTAACTAAAATGGTTAACCTCTCGCTGTCTACTGGCGTTTTTCCAGATGCTTTTAAGCATGCTATAGTGGAACCATTACTAAAAAAGGCAGGTCTGGACCCGTCGGATTTGAATAGTTTTCGGCCTATTTCTAAGCTCCCGTTTTTATCCAAGCTCATTGAGAAGGTAGTCTGCGAACAGTTAACATTTTACCTGGAAAATAGTAACATCTATGAGCCATTCCAGTCAGGTTTTCGTAAACAACACTCTACCGAAACGGCCTTACTGAAAGTGTCAAATGACATTATGATTTCTGCTGATTCTGGAAAACACACTGTTCTAGTTCTCTTGGATCTGTCTTAAGCCTTTGACACCGTCGACCACCAGGTTTTGCTGAAAAGATTAAAGGATCAAGTAGGGCTGTCAGGGTCAGTTCTGCAGTGGTTTACCTCATATTTATCTGGGCGTAGTTTCAGTGTTACAGCTATGGGGTCTGCAGACTTGCTCTGTGGAGTCCCTCAAGGCTCCGTTCTGGGCCCTGTTTTATTTTTGTTGTATTTGATCCCTTTGGGAAAGATCATACAAAGGTTCAATGATGTTTCTTTTCACCTATTTGCCGATGATATCCAACTTTACTGCTGCTTCAAGCCATCAGAGATCTGTAAGTTAAACTCCTTGCTTCTTTGTCTTGTGGAAATTAAAAAATGGCTAAGTGAAAACTCCCTGCAGCTAAATGCAGACAAGACAGAAACATTGATCATTGCCCCTGAGGATGTAATCCCTGGGATTAAACAATACTTGGGTGATCTAGGCCAGTCTGCTAAGCCAAGTCTTAGAAATTTGGGAGTTATCCTCGACAAAGACATGTTGTTAGTGCAGCACTGCAAGCAGCTGACGAGAAACTGCTTCTTTCAATTAAGGAAAATCTCGAAACTTAGAAATATGGTTTCAAGAAATGATTTGGAGCTTATCATTCATGCCTTTGTGTCTTCGCGTTTAGACTATTGTAATAGTCTATTTTTATGCCTAAACCAGAAGGAACTCTCTCGACTGCAATTAGTCCAAAACTCTGCAGCCAGAATTTTAACACGTACAAATAGGAGGTCTCACATATCCCCAATCCTAAAAGAACTTCATTGGTTACCAGTGTCTTATAGGATAAATTTTAAAATTTTGGTTTTAGTTTTCAGAGCTTTACATGGCCAGGCTCCCCCTTATATTAGTGACCTAATTCAGCGTTATGCCCCTGTACGTGCTCTGAGGTCTGTGGATCAGAACCTGCTGACGGTTCCACGCACTCGCTACCGTACTAGAGGTGACCGATCTTTTCAGGCAGTTGCCCCCAGGTTATGGAATGACCTTCCACCGTCTATGCGCTCCTCTGATTCTGTTCATGTGTTTAAATGGAGACTTAAGACACACTTATTTGTTCAGGCTTTCAATTAGCTACCTGTGGGTTGATATGATCATGTACTGTTTATGTTTTTATTGTGTGTATTTTATGATATAAATTGTTTTTGTTGTAAAGCACTTTGTGGCCCTATACCTGTGAAAGGTGCTATATAAATAAACTTTTACTTACTTACTTACTTACTTACTAGTGATCAGAGACATGGCCGGTTCGTGAACGAATCGTTCTTTTGAACCGGTTCTTTTTAGTGAACCGGTCGAACCAGTACGCTAAATCGAACTGAATCGTTCGAAACAGTTCGCGTCTTGCGTCAGTGCTGATCCAGAAGTTACTAAAGTTACTCACTTTCAGACATGCCTGATAGCCCCTCCGAATCAAAATAAATCAATATCCTGAATTATATTTTACTCCAGTAACTCCAATAGTTCACTGAACCGAGACATGTTGGTGCCACTGTTGAGAGAAGTGATGAGCACGAGCAGCTGATACTGCGTACTACCGAACACACAGGGACAGCAGTTCTCGAATCACCAGTATAGATCCGGGAACTGTTTAGACTGAGCTTGTGTGTTATCTTCGTGCCAGTTATTAAGCCAATAATGTGTAGGGCTGTATATTTCATCAAAAAAT